GATTTTCCGTTTAACAGGCTTCCCAAGAGATCCCATGCACCTTGTAGTCTTTAGGTTCTAGGCTAGATGCGGATTCCAACGATTGATGTTGGCATACTTTGAGTCCGAACCCTACTAGCCTTTTATGTTGGCCTACTTGAACTAGGACTTCGAACTTGTGCATGTCTGGTTGGGTTGAATAAACATCTGCCAGCATTTATGCTTGGTCATTGCATGGCAACTTAAACTTTCAGGATTATGGACGTTTGCAGCAGTGTGAGATGCCAACCGTTCCCCCAAATCCTAAACCCTACTTCAAGGATCTTAGCGACTAGCGTTATAGGACACTAAGTTAACATAATGACGTATAACCCCATTTAAGGTACCTATAACCGTACTTAGTCCCATGATCCTCCAAGTAAGCCTATATAAACACTCGAGCCAGATTCGCCCAGGATGATCTCCGTCTCTGGGCCTCCCTTGTTCCGACGCTGCAGCAGTTCATCTGGAGGGTTTGGTAGCCTAGGTTTTGGGGTTTTGGGTTAAGGTTTGGGGGCTTAGGGTGTTTCGGGTGTTAAGTTCAGGGGCTCAAACAGATTCAGGGCTTGAGCCGGGCTTAGGACTTGGGGGCTTCAGGCTGAAAGCTTGAAACACAAAGGTTAAATTACTTGGAGGGTCGGGGTTATGGAGTTGTAAGTACCCTAAACGAGGCACATTATGATGCTTAGAACTCTAGAAAATTGCTACTTACTACGTCCCTCGACGCTCCAAGTAGGTTCCCCAGTAGTACCCTTTGGCCCTTTTCTGTCGGGGCTCCCTTCTTCAAAACCGAATGCTGGGTAAACGGGTGCCCTGATTATTCAGGTGCTACTGGGGAACCTACGTAGTGAAGCTTGAAGCCTGGAGACCTTTAAGTCCTGAACTTCCTGAACAAGGCTTCTTGGCTGACTTCTGGAGCTTGAAAACCGCAGACATATGCCCACATATGCTGCCATTCTCGGATTCTGTCCCACAAGACCATGGCTTTGCAGCTTTAAATCAATAATAGAAGTATTCATGGACCCTCTTGGCAAGATTAAGAGGGCACCCTAAATCCTAAATCCTGAACCGTTTAGGGTCTAGGGTTTGGGGGCTGGATCGGCCTGTCGGCAAGAGCAAGTTGAATTGTCCGCTATGTTGCCGAACCAAGCCTCGAGATGCCTCAATCGCTGCTAGACCCGACCTGAACCCCGAATACCTACCTTTCATTACCTTGTACAAGCCGCTAAACCCTAAAATCTGGGAAGCCCTAAAAGTCGACACTTTATACCCGAAGGCTCAAAATAGCACAAAAGCCTCGGATCGTATGGCCTTACGCCCAACAGCCTTATGACATGAGTCCGTAGAGCCTTGGCCCCAATCCCCGACTCAAGCCTCAACCCTAAACCCAAATCGTGCATGGCCGTTTCCGTCGGAGTGGCCCTTCTCAGCGGAAGGAGTTCAACGATTGAGGTTACCTCTGACACCTGCTTGAATGACTTGAAAAAACGTGCGGAAACTGCGCTGGGCCTTTCTGGTACCTTGCTGGCAGCCTCTGGAGCAAGCTTCCGGGCTCCTGTTAAGGCGGTTGTATCGATTTTACGTGGGCTCGGTTTTGGTGTTTTGTCCCTGCCTTCTGAGGGGTTCATTGTTGAGGAACTTTGTTAGAGTTCCGATTAGCCGGCTGTATAGTATACAATGTTTTTCTAGTCATGATAAGCTGGACTGGGCTGCTTATCCCCGGAAATCATGTTTTACCATCCAAGACAAAACTTTCGAAGCCCCTAAACCCGAAGCCCTACGCCCCGAAACCCTGAACCTTACCCCGAAAGCTTGGACCCTAGACTGTAAAAGCCCATAAATCCTATAAACCCTGTAGATCCTTTTTTGTGACTCCTCTTAGCTTGAACCCTCGACTAGGCCCTAGACGGTAGAAGCCCTATAAACCCTGTAGATCCTTTTTGGTGACTCCTCTTATTGGTCTAAAACCCAACTTGTCAGCTTTGAGGCTCTTAAAGTAAAAGCCAGAAAGTTGGAATATGATTATCCTACACTCTTTATGGTAAATTATAGGGTATCCTACCCTGAAACCATATTCCAACTTTCTGGAGTTCCCTTTATGAGGTAATGTAGGGACCTGATTAAGAAACCTTGGGCCTTTATTAGGGCTCCTTATATGGATCCTACTATTTTGGGCTTGTAGGTCCAGGGTTTCTTAATCATGTTCCTACATTCATTAGCCTTACTCTCAAAATTTGATCTTTTATGCCTTGGGTTTTTTGGGAAGTAAGCCCTTCAGAAGAACCCTACAAAATAGTAGGTTCTGACCCCTTAATTAGAGTGTAGAACCCTTAAAACAGAAGGTCTTTGGATCCCCAGTCCCCAGGTAAGCCCTTCAAAGGAACCCCTTGATTTTTGTTGGAACCCAGAGCTTCCAAAACCCCTTAATTAAGGAATATTCCTTAAACCATATTGGGGATCCTACTATATTTTTGGGTATATTCCTTAATTAATTCCTTTATAGAACCCCTATAGATCCCTTTAAGGAGCCCTTTAAGGTATATTCCTTAATTAAGGGATATTGGAGTCTCTGGGAACACCCTTCAACCCAGCCTGGGACGGGGAGCCCACGGGTTTAGGGTTTAGGGTTGGGGAAAAACGCGCTAACGCCCCAAAGCCCAGGACTGAAACAAAGAAGCCTTTCCGTGACCCCGGAAAGCCTACGTCTTTCGGAAGTTACATAAACAGGGCCATAATCAACAGCACCCCAAAAACGGTAGGTGTTTGTGTGGTTTAAGGTAACCCCTAAACTAAAGCCCTGAACCCCTAAATCCTAAACCCTAAACCCCAAACCCCAAAACCCTCAATCCTAAACCCTAGGATTTTTTGTGGGTTACGGAGTACAGACTCTAAACTACGCCCAGGCTTGGATGGAGAGGCAACGGTTGCTGAAGCAAATCTGAAGACGGGGGATCAGCTCACGCTCTTGACGAGACCCGTGGCTCCACTCGGGACGAAGCTCGGTACGGGGGTTTACGGCTTAGGGTTGGGGGTTTTGGGTGTGTAAGGTTTTAGGGTTTAGGAGTTAAGGTAACTTAAGGGCCTGGGAGTTTAGGGTTTGAGTTTTAAGGTTTAGGGTTTGGGTTTTAGGGTGTAGAGGTTAGGTTTGGGCTTTAATTTAAGGGCCTTGGCGTTTAGAGTTTGGGTTTCAGGGTCTTGGCTTTAGGGCTTAGGTTCGGTCTAGGCCGTGCTTGATTTTTCAGTTTGTTTATGCAAACCATACACTGTTGTTGAATTCTCAGGGTTGATGATGCTGCATTTGCTTAATCGCAGACGGCCAGGGTGATTCTCCACCTGAGAAATCTTTGTACCCTCTAACCCTGGTCTATTGGCAGGATTTCCGTATATGCAATTAGAGAACAAGATCAAAGTACCATTGCGAGCCAGGGGATATTGCGGAACTTGGTTAGACGAGAACCCATTGAGGAACAAGAAGGCCGAATACCTTGTGTGGCTATTCAGGCCACGCATTCCTCAGCGCCTGTAGATACAGTCCTAGAGTGGAGCCGTGTAAAGGCTTCAAAACATACACAAACGCCTTCAAACACTAAACCGAGAGAATTTTGTTTCGTGAGAATGGAAAGGTTATTTAGTCTAGACACTTTAAACTACGTCTAAGAAGTTGGTGTTGGGAGTGCGGAAGCTTGTTTAAACAAAACCTAAGAACATCTAAGAGCATTTTGAGTTTGGAGAAGGAAGAGGGCCTGGGCAGCCATCTTTGGCGACGGTTCCGTGGCCACATGGGGCCACTCCGACCGAGCTGGACGTCCCAGCAAAGGGACTCTTCAACAGTTCCTTGGCAAGGATTTCCTCTTTAAAGGCTTACGGGTTCAAGGTTTTGGGGAGTTAGGGTTTATTCTTTAGGGTCTTGAGGCCTAGGAAAAGAACACAGGTTATCGTGAACATTGCCAGAGAGTTGTTGAGCTTCTGCAGAGGTTTCAAAAGCTTTGGCAAGGACTCTGTAGGATTTCTATAAACCTTGAGCAGATTTCTTCCTAGTAAAACTTACCGAAGTAGGGACCTGTCCCACAAATAGGTCTTTCCCCAAGTAATACGGTATCTTCAGTTAAGTTCCATGACAAGAGCCCAGGCTCAAGAATGTCCAACAACTTCAAGCCACAGACGAGGCTTTTGCGGCCATCCTTGACGATGGCTCAGTTGTGGCATGGGGAGAACTGAACTACGGTGGTGACTGCAGCGCTGTTCAGGAACAGCTCGTGAATGTGCGTCAAATCCAGGCCAACCGGTATGCCTTTGCAGCAATCTGCGGCGACCGATCTGTTGTCACGTGGGGGAGCACTACGAGCGGAGGTGACAGCAGTAGTGTTCAGGAACAGCTCAAGGACGTGCAGGCGATCCAATCCTCAAGCCGTGCATTCGTAGCCATTCTGAGGGACGGATCGGCCGTGGCGTGGGGCGCATCCAGCTACGGTGGGGATAGCTCTGAGGTCCAAGATCAGTCACTTGGCAGTCCAGTGCGTGACAACTAACGTTTTTTGGGCTACTAAATATTATTATGATCCCGAGGTAATGCCAGTTTGGTTTTTCCTTTTTCTGTATGTACCCAGAGGCTCCAAAGTAGTTCCTTTTTGGGGTTGCCCTATAGGATTCTAAATATGAACCCTAAAAAGCAGCTACTATGGAGCCTCTGGGTAATCATTATTTTTCTCGCGAAGGTTCTTCCAAGACGGTCGACCCCAGACCGAAACTTAAGTTCTAAAGGCTTTGGACCCCACAGTCAAAACCGTAAACCTCAACTGTCACCCTGCAAGTGTTGGGAAAGCCCTAAACCCTGGGAAACCCAAAATCCGAAAACTCTAGAGCCATGAACCTTAACTCCCACACCGTTCAAGTCAGCCCTAAACCCTAAACCCTACGCGTCAGGTTAGTGCAGGTGCAAAGCGTCCAAGCGTGCGACCAGGCCTTTGCAGCTCTGCGAAGCGATGGATTCGTGGCTAGGTCCACGGTTTCGGGTTCTGGGTCTAGGTCTTGTTTGAAGGCTTCCAGGAGGAATTCAGGGTTTTGGGGGGTTTTGTAGGGTTTCTATAGCTTTTATAGAGTTAAAGTTGTGGCCACTGGCACATTTGGTGTTCTACTTCTTGTATGATTATCTTATTTGTGCCCGAACCTTGTTTGCAGGGATTACAGGGCTAGCCGAGGTGGTGACCTGGGGTTTGCAATCCATCGCAGACAGCCTGGTCCTGGAATTGACCGCTGTTCAGCATATTCAGGCAAACTCCGCGGCCTTTGCGGCAATCTTGCAAGATGGATCTGTGGTCACTTGGGGTGACGATGCACGCGGCGGCAGAAATGTGGAAGTCCAGAGACAGCTGAAGAGGGTGCAGCATGTCCAAGCAACGGTCTCTGCCTTTGCTGCTATATTGGATGGCGGATGTGTTGTGACATGGGGGTTTGGAAGGCATGGTGGCGACAGCAGCGCGGTTCAGGAACAGCTCGTGATGGTGAGACATATACAAGCCACATCCCGTGCCTTTGCTGCTTTGCGTGAAGATGGATCGGTGGTGACTTGAATGCGATCACTTGAGGCTCCTCGTAAAGCTGATCATCATTAAACTATAGGTTTATGGAGAGCCATACTTGGAGGATCATGGGACTTAGTAAGTAGGGTTATAAGTACCTTAGTTGGGGTTATAAGTAATTCTAAGTCTAGTTATTTTACTTATAACCCCAATTACTAAGTCCCATGATCCTTTAAGTAGCGACTGCATGGCCGATATAGCCTTCCGCACCTGGTTTTGAAGGTTCGGCTTGCCTGAAGTAGTCTATGCCAATGCCATACCCTTAAGGGGAGTCTTTACGGCATCCCGAGACGAACCCTTGAGGGAACCTTTTTCAAGGATCCTTTCTGAGGTTTAACTTAAGGGTACCCTTAAGGGTTCCTTTAAGGGTTCTCTTAGGGGCTCCCTTAAGGGTTCCCTTAATGGAACGAAGCCCTCTGGTTCCTGTTTTAGAACCCTTAAGGCTTAGGGTTTAGGGTTTAAGGTAAAAGCCAGAAAGTTGGAATATGATTATCCTAGGCCCTTTATGGTAAATTATAGGGTATCCTACCCTGAAACCATATTCCAACTTTCTGGACTTCCCTTTAAGGGAGCCTTCTATTCAAACGAGCCGTCCAGGTGACCTGGGGGTGCTCGGATGCTGGTGGCACCAGCGATCATGTCCAGGCCTTGCAGGGTTTAGGTCCTTAGAGGGTGCCTTAATTTAAGGGTTCCTTGAAGGGGGTCCTTAGGCAGCATTGAAGGGTTCCTTAAAAGGCTCCTATAAAAGATCTATAAGGGTGTAGGGTTTGAGGATCATGAGGCTTAGTAACTGGAGGCATCCTCAAGGGGTTCCTTAGAGGGTTCTGTTAGGGCAGGGGGATTGGTTCCAGTAACCCACTGTTGTCCGGGCTTTACCCCATGTTGGGGCTTGCAGTCTTTTTTTTTTTTTTGGGGGGGGGGGTGGGTGGGTTGGGCTTTTTTTGTGGAATGATCATGCCCCCTTGTGGGTGGTTGTCAAAATTAGGGTCCCTTTTAGGTCCCTATTATAGTACGGCACCTATTATTTAGGGTACCCATAAAAAGGGACTTCATTTTTGACAACCATTCTTGTCTCTTCTCGTAATTTCATATGCCCCAAAGCTCTGTTTAGTCATTCAGGACCGCACAGGCCCCTCAATGGGGTTTAGGGTTTAAGGTTTAGGGTTTAGGGTTGAGAGAAAGGTTTAGCGTTTAAGGTTTAGGGTTTAGGGGTTTAGGGTTTAAGGTTTAAGGTTTAGGGTTTAGATTACAAGGAACAGCTTCCATTGAAAGGAGCAACTCAGCAATGTGCAGATGGTCCAGGCGAGCTCCAATGCTTTCGCTGCACTGCGCCGTGATGCGAGAGTGGTTACCGGGTATGTCACTGGGAGATGTGTTTTTGTTCCATGTATTGGTATTCAGAGGAATTGGTTTGCGAATGTTCTTCAAAGGCCTCAATCAAAGTGCCAACATAGGTCGCATGGGGCAGTCCCCTGCACGGCGGAGACAGCGGGGCTGTTCAGGGGCAGCTGCAGAACGTGAAGGAGATCCAAGCAGCCCCTTACTCCTTTGCTGCAACTGGGATCTTGCAAGGTATTTGGGAGTTTCCGAAAACTAGGGACACCCTATTTTGGGGTCCTTATAACTAGGATCCTACTATTTAGGGTTTTATATTAGGGTCCCCTATTGTCGGAAACTCCCATTTGTTTGGTCGGGAGTTCGAGCAGGTTCTTTAGGAGCTTTAGAAGGATTTTAGGATTTGTCCTGCGGGGTTGCAGCGGTTGCAGCGGTCGAAGTGCTCGACAAACAGGTGCTTTGATGTAGGAAAGCAAGAATTATTTCCAGCAGAAGTTTAGGCAGGTTTCTGGACCCTTAGTTTCCTAAACCACGGAACCCGTTTTTGTTGTTTTTGGTTTGCTTGTTTTTTGTTTTATCCTATTTCCGCATTATGGTAACTTGATCTCCTGCACAAGAACCCAGGCCATCACCGCCGGATCCATCGTGTCCTGGGGCTTGGATTGTCACTGCCAGAATCATGCCGCAACTATAATAAAGAGTATCTAGGGCCAACCCAGGCTATAGAAGAAGGTTTAGATGGGTTTAGAGTAGGGTTTGTATGAGTTTAGAGTAAAGTATTCGAAAAAGAAGGGTGACATGCACCAGTTTGTCAGGGCCATATCGCTCTTTAAGGTGCCTTGGTTACTCTAGGTGGAGTCGGCTATAGTAGAGGGTGTTACTTGGGCCGCGTGACGACCCGGTGACCGCACGGCTTTCCAGCTGTGCAGCATAGCAGAAAGAACCGCAAACTTCCCGGCTTTCGTAGAACTCCTGAAGCTCTGATCCTTGATTCAGAAGCGATAACAGCTTCAATATGTTTAGAATACTACTGTGAATGCCAGCGCAGGGTATATATCTCTCGGGGGAGTAGATCATCGTAATGTTGTGAATGCCAGTGCAGGGTATACCATTTCCAAGCATTCCTGCCCTTGCATTGCCTCGGTTGAAAAGGAATGTATACAAGCGAGGTAACACATAGGACTCCTGCAAGTACCCTAAACCCCTAAACCTTAAACCCTAAACCCCTAAACCCTAAACCCCTAAACCCTAAACCGTAGGTCTTATCTATACGCAGCGTGTTGGGGTGCTTCGCGGGAGTCTTAAGACTGACTTGTCGCAGCCGTCTCACATGTTCAGCGCCAGTTTAGGGTTTCTAAGGTTTAGGGCAACCCAAGACCCTAAACCCTACCTTAAGCCGGAATATCCTACCTTTTCAAGGACTTATATAAGGAGACCATAAGGTAGGTTATTCCGGCTTAAGGTAGGAATCCTACCGCTGCCAACAACTAACGCTATCTCCTCCAGCCTTGGAGTCCCAAGCCGTAAACCCTAAAAATCCCCCAGCCCTAAACAGCACCTTGTAAAGTCCCTACACCTAAACAAGCGCAAAGTCAGGGAAGTCGAGCTTCCAGCCGAAAGTTTGAGAACTCACCGCCCAAAGCCCTCACCCTATGCTTCGTGGGGCTTTGGGACTCGGGCTTGGGGGGGCTTTAGGGTTTGGTGTTTAGGCGCGAAGCCGTTGACACCTTTTCAAATTCCGCCCAACCATGGGAAACTCTATATACTACACCGTTACTTGGACCGTTTGGGAGAGTTAATTCGTTGCCTAAAGAATATCCCCATGCCTCCAGGGACCTTATTATTGCGTCCTTAAGGGGTTGAGGGTCCGAACCATGAGGGTTCTTGGAAGCCCCAAGGGTCCAAGCACCCTTTAATCATATACTCTCCAAAATCCTAACCTACATAACTACTATCCTAAAACCAAGTACCTGATTATTGGGTCCTTTGGACCCTTGGGGAAGGATAGGGTGTCGGCTGCATTTTGTGGGTTTTAGAAGTTGGGACTTAATTATAGCGGACTGCTACAAGGGTGTGACAGGAGGATAGCCATAGGGACTCATGCCCCCACTCCTGCTGACGCACCAGTCAGTGGTTGGGGTTTATGACATAGGCTGAAGGCCGGGATTTCGGACAGTAATCATGCCCCAATTAAGTATCATATACCCTTCAAACTAGTACTTAACCTGCATAAGTGCTATCCTACAACCGAATACCTAATTATTGGGTGCTTTTGACCCTTAGGGATTACTTTGGTGCTTTCAGGTTTCACGAGCTCAAGGGAAGAGAGCTTCGGGTTTAGGGCTGTCAGGGCTTACCTAAAGGCTCATGGGACTTAGCAAGCAAGGTTATAAGTAGGTTATAATTAGGATAACCCCACTTGGGGGACTTATTTGCTAAGTCTTGGTGGACCCCAACAGTATATGGAATGATTCCCTACTTGGAGGGATCATGGGACTTAGTAAATAGGGTTGTAAGTACTTTAACTGGGGTTATAAGTACTTATAAGTGTAGTTACCTTACTTAGAGCCCCACTTACTAAGTCCCATGATCCTTTCAGTAGTCAGCTTCACTCAGACATAGGTTCGTGTACATCACGCCCACGATCACCTGGGTGTCGGGCGTGCACGTCACCATGCGCATCGACCTATTCAACGCCACCGCTCTCAGCCACCGGGACGATATGAGACAATTCTTCGGGCGTTCTCAAAACGAGGGTCCCGCATATGTTTAGAGGTGCTTAGCATAAGTTCTTAAGCTGCAACATGCAGTTCTGACCAGAGCATCTCTATTCACCTAAGGTTCAAGTCCCATTGAAACCAGAGGCCCGTACGCCCGAGGCCGAGCAAACAAGTACAGCCACTAGATGTTGCCTATTTGTCGACTATCCTGAATGCAGCACATGTGGCTCACGGTTCCTAATTGCTGAATGCAGTAGGTTTTTTTTGCCTTTTCGGGTTTAGGCTGCACATCAGGTTCAGGGCTGGATACCGGTTGAAGAGGGATTTCATGGTTTCTGTAGTGTTCCATGGGTGTTGCGCAATCATCTTGTCAGTTTAACGCCAGGGTCCAAATCCAGTGCCCAAATAGCAGGGTTTTGGGGCACAGATCCCATACTCTTTGGACTATTACGGGGCCTTGACTCAGATCCATAGTGTAGGAAATCAAGAGCCAGGTCTCTGAAGTGAAAAAATGCAAAAATGCAAGTTTAGAGCTCAGGCCCAAACAGCACATAAGCATGGGATCCCAAGTATGGGTTTTCGGCATTCAGGGTTCAGGGTTTCATATACACATCTTCGTCGTCCGGTAAGGTTTAGAGTAGGGTTCGGCAGGCTTTTTGGGTACAGGTACTTGGAGGATCATGGGATTTCGTAAGTCCGGCTATATAGTACCTTAACTGGGGTTATAAGCAATTATAACAGGAGTTACCTTATTTATAACCCCAATCGCTGAAAACCCTCATAGACCCACGCAGAGGCACCGAAAACCTCTTACAGTCGAAGCCTAAAAGTTGGAAACCCAATAGCCTCAATCCTTAAGAGCCAAGAACAAGGAACCCCAGCACTATTTGGCCTTAATCCGGTTTCCAACTTTATGGGGCTTACTGTAAACCCCTAAACCCTATAGACACCTTATGGATCCCTTTAAAGGAACCCCCGTAGATCCCCTTAAGGAGCCTTAAGAAACCCCTAAACCCCGCTGTTTCCAACTTTATGGGGCTTACTGTACAGCCGAGCAGCTTCGAGCCTCCGTTGTTTTTATCCGAAAACCCACAGGAAACACTCAGGAAACCAATCGAAACCCTAAACCCCTAAACCCTAAACTCTTAAACCCTAAACCCCTAAACCCTAAACCCTAAACCCTAAACCTCTAAACCCTAAACCTCTAAACCCTAAGCCCTAATTTTCTGAGGGAAAGAACAACAAAACGGGTTGAGGGCTTAGGGTTGGGGAGGATCTTGAGCCTGTCGATAGCACTTGGAGTTCAGGGTTTAGGGTTCGGGGTCTTGGGTTTGGGTTTCCGGGTTTTGGGTTCAGGGTTCGGGGTTTTGAGTTTAGGTTTCCGGGTTTGGGGTTTAGGGTTCGGGGTTTTGACTTGAGGTTTCCGGGTTTTGGGTTTGGATTTTACGGTTTTTTTCCGCCACCACAAGCCTAAGCCAAGGCCTGCGCAACGTCGCCATCCGCCTGGGCGTCAGTCGACCGACCCGAATGGGTGGCTTACTTGCACTGGCTGAATGGATACACTTTACACCTTCGGGCATAGTATTATCCGATAGTACCTCTAATTTGTTTATCCCCTAGAAGACTGGGCAGTTTCCATTTACAATCTTCTTAGTTTTTATCCCCTAGATCGCTGAAAGTTACATGTTCCTGTATCCCCAAACCCTACAACGTAGTAGGTTATGACCCCTTAAACCAGAGGGTCGAACCCTAAAACGCTAGGGTTTTTGGATCCCGAGGTTCTCTTAACAGCTGAGGTGCCGAATAGAGTACCCAAATAGTAGGATCCTTTTGAAGCAGGACCCCGAAAATGAGGTACCCCTAATTTTCGGAAACTCTAAACCCTAAACCCTTTAAAGAACCTGATAGATCCCTTTAAGGAACCCTTAGAGGATCGGATCCCGCATTTTGTCTTAAGAACTGAGGTGAGCGGGCAGCCAAAGAGACGCAGCCCTGGCACCATCCAGAGGGCCTCCTGCGGCCACGGGGAGCCTTAGCTGCTGTAGCGGCCTAGATCCTTCCGGGTCCTTGAAACTTAATGCAATCATAGTACAAAACATAACACCTATACATATATACATATATATATATATATGTATATATATATACATATATATATATATATACACACACATATACATATATACCTATACGGACCAAAGCCCTATCCTAAGCTATAAACCCTAAGCCCATGCTGGGACTGGGCTCTGATTAGCATGTTTCAGCTGGGGTATAGGTGCCCTGAACCAGAATAAAAACAACAACAACAAGTAAAAAAAATAACAAAAGAAAACAAAAAAAAACGATAGTCATACTAACATAAATAGGACCTAGTAGTTTCGGGAGCCTCGAAGTTCTGAACCCGGGGTTTCGGGGTCCCTTAGATCGTATAGTATATTTAAATGAGGAGCCCTGAGCCGTGAGATTAGTAATTATTTAGGCTTCTATACCCAGAGAACCCAATACCCCTTAATTAAGGAATATACCTCAAATTGTAGGGGCCTTAATATTATGGTGTAAGGTATATTCCTTAAATAAGGGGTATTGGGTTCTCTGGGTATTAAACAGCCTGATAAGGACACCTTGGGTCTTTATTAGGGCTCTTTCTACTGATCCCGATGTTTTGGGATATCCCTAATTACCCAGAGGCTCCATATGTAGTACCATTATGGACTTGGGTCCCAAAAGGCCATCCATATCATTGATGGCTTTGGCGACCTAATTCAATAATGGTACTATATGTGGAGCCTCTAGGTTATACATTATTTCTTCCTGTTGAAATCAGCACCTAGGATAGGAACCTGTTGAAGGAACCTTGGGTCTCTGTGTCTTCAGGTTCTTTATATGGGTGGTTGTCAAAATTATGGTCGCTTTTTGGGTACGCTAAACATTAGGTGCCGTATTCTATTAAGGACCCAAAAAGGGGACCCTAATTTTGACAGCCACCCAAATGGATCCTTATGCTTCGGGGTTCTAGGACCAGAATATTAGGGTTTCGGGTTTAGGGTTTAGGGTTTCGGGTTTAGGGTTTCGGGTTTCGGGTTTGGGGTTCTAAATCAGGTTCCTACAAGAAACGCAATAGCCAAAGCCTCCCTGTGGACGAAGCTGAGGACACCCAACGATCGAGTCGATCACGAGCCGAAGTTCGGCGACTTTGTGGCGTCACTGGACGCCACCCAGGGGTTCGATACGCATGTCGGAAAATGGGGGGGGGGGGGGGGGGGGGTAGTAGTCTTCCTGGATACCCACAAAACTATACAAAACGATCAGAGTGCGGATGATGTTCACAACAAGGTTGTCGTAGCCACACTAAAAAGCTGGAACTTGGATAACAACGTATCTAGCACTATACCACCGGTAGCCGAAAACATGACAAAGACATTGGTGGGAATAGGAAAACGACCAGCACAGGCTAAACTGGGCATAATTACCCTCAAGATCGTGAAGCTCTCACAACAAGTAAAAGTTGTACTCGTGAAATGCCACCGCAGCCACATCGAAATTAAGAGTTGTAGTTAAGACCACCTTGCCCGTCACATGCATACGCATGATTGCAGCAACAACCAACGCTGCCTTCTGTTTCCAGCTTAGATAAACCACCGGGGGATCTAGAAAGTAGATCAATCAATTGCGGGTTCCTATCAAGTACCCTTAGTAGTATAGGGTCCCCAAATCGGGGATCTACTTTCTAGATCCTCCTGGTGGTTTGGGTTGGACCAAAAGTCTTGAAGGCCTCCGTGAACGGTACCTGGGGGGAGGCGCTATTATGATTCCCTAAGGGTCCATGTACCTAAATACTATATACATTGGCCTTAAAGAAGTCCCTATATAGGTACATTGGTGCCAAAGTATATACTATTTGGGTACATGGACCCTTAAACCCTAAACTCTTATGGTACCCTTAAAGGACCCCTTAAAGGAACCCCTTAAAGGAAGCCTTATGGTACCCTTAAAGGACCCTATAGGAACCCTTATAGAACCCTTAAAGGAGCTCTATTTGGGTACATGGACCCTTAGGGGTTGAGGCTTGAGGATGGATGCTTGGCTTCAGCGTTTAGGCTTTGGAGTCGAAGTTCTCAGAGACCCCAATACCCCTTAATTAAGGAATACCTAGGGGTTCCTTTAAAGGGATCCTTAAGGGCTTCTTCAAGGCATCTATAGGGTTTAGGGTACCCAGAGACTCCAATATCCCTTAATTAAGGAATATTCCTTAAATCATATTAGGGATCCTACTATAATTTAAGGTATATTCCTTAATTAAGGGATATTGGAGGCTCTGGGTTCAGGGAGTGGAGAAGTAGCGAGTGAAGTTTTGATTGCAAGTGACTTGCACGAGCCGCCAAGTATGTCTGAGAGCCTACCACGGTGTCGAAGGTTGTTGATTTTACCTTGAACCTAAACCCTAATCCTCAATCTCATACAAAACCTTATCCCGTAATATCTTTCTGAACCCGAGGAGCTCAGCAAGTAGGCCCCAGTCCACAAAGGTGATCTGTACCTCCGGTTTCCACCGAAGCCCATGTGCGTCTCGCTGTCACTGAGCTACACGAAGGCGCGCCGACTGAGCCTTAATTCTATACAGCAGACCGCTGATCTGGTTCCCCTCAGGGTTTCAATATTATGGTCTCTTTTTGCATTAATCCTTGTCGAGGGAGGGTTTATTCGTCCACGAGTCTACATGAGGGTTGCTGTTCGAAGCTTACTTATTCGTCAATGTTCGTTTGCAAAAAAGTTGACCATGGCGACGTCAACACTGCGATGAAGGTGGTGATGCTGATGACCTTCGAAAGTCCTGCTTTCATTGGTCACATGTCTTTACAATGCTGTACCTACTTACTGATCGCCGCCACTGCCCCAAGACTAGAATACTCTAGCACATGGACATAGACTCACCTTCGCCCGAATCTGTCTCGAGTTGTACCCGGTGCTCGCTGCTTCCAGTCCTGCACCCTGAACCTTCCAACACCTGCCTCGAGGTTTCGCCGGCTGAGCAACCGTGGACAAACCGTTTTTAACCGTTCAGAGCAGGATTGAACATCCCACAATTGACAAAAGCAAGCTTTGACATCCAAAGACGGTATCCAAAGATGGGTTGCAGAACGGAATCCTTAGTCTTAACTAGTCCGAATTGCATTACCCGTCTGCGGGCAGGCATTCTCAGTCTTGGTTTGTCGTCCGGAAACCTGAACCGACCCAAGCATCTCCAAGCCCCTCCTAACGAGCCTCCATAAGGGCACCTTGGCTTGGGTTCTGGTGAATCCGCAGCCCTTAGGTTCCCAAACCTTGAAGGCCTTATACCCATAGGCCCCAATGTAGTTTCTTTTTGGGATTACGTTATAGGATTCGGAACTACTTTGGGGCCTTAGGATAAGCTGCAAAAACAAAGAGCCGAGACCGTAAAGCCCTGAACTTGACCCGCCCCAACCCTCAACAAGCAAGCCCCTTGAGGCCCCACCAACCCACTGCCTTGAAGATTGCCTTACCCTAAGGGTTCAAAGGACCCAACAATCAGGTACTCGGTTTTAGGATAGTAGTTATGTATGTTAGGTTTTTGGAGAGTATACGACTGTTGGTACTTGGACCCTTGGGGTTATCTTCGGGCCCAAAAGCCTGAAATTGAAATTGTATCCCCAAGGCCTGATAATGAAACGAGAACCACTAGCCCAAATAATTACCAATACTATGTTTTTGGCGGTTACCTTGAAAAGAGATCCTTCGAGGGATCTTATCCCCAACGTCAAGCTCGCAGGTGCTGCAGGAGAGTCTGTCAGGGCTCACGCCCGCGAGCAACTGGATGCAATGAATGAGGGTGTTTGAATAAACAGCAATACTACTCCTGGGCGTTCCTGCATAACATACTACAGCTCAAAAGTGTAGCAACCCCCCAAACCCGAGTCTATTCATGCAGGCCGCTGTATGAAGAACGGTGTTTTCTCAAGCTTTTTGGTTTTGAGGTCGAGGGTTGGGGTCATCCCGTTTAGGGTTTATATAGGGGCCCTAAGCCCAAAATCCCTGAAGCCCTATACCCTGAACCCTATAAACCCTCAAACGCTAAACCCCTAAAGCCCCATAAACCCTTAAACTATACCCTAAATCCTATAAACCCTTAATCCCTAAAATGCAGGGAATTCGGAGTCCAGTCTCGGGTTCACAGGTTCGACGGCGGGGCCGGGCTTGCTCGAAATCTGACAAGCTCAGCCCGAAGCCCTATAGTGATCCTAGAGGGATCCTTTAAGGGTTCCTTAAAGGGATCTAAAAGGGTTCTATAAAGGGTTTAGGGTTTAGAGTTCCGAAAATAGGGGTACCTTATTTGGGGGACCTTCCAATAAGGATCCTATTATTTAGGGTACTGGCTATACTCTCATGATCACTACCTTAACCCCAAGTGACTTACCATTGTAAGGACTTATACAAAGAAATCATATTAGGGAACCGAAGTTCCTTTTTGGGGTTCGTATATAGAATCCTATAAGGTAATCCCAAAAAGGAACTACTTTGGGGCCTCTGGGTATACTCTCATGATCACTAAACGACAAGCCCTTAACTTCTCCCTATCCCTAAACCCTAAACCGTACGATGGGTCCTGAACTTTCTCCTGAAGCCCCCTAAATCCTAAACCCTCAACCCTAAGATAGGTCATAAACTTCTGAAAAAATGCGCTTAAGGGAACTTGTAAGTGCGACCTAAACCCAAACTTCAGGCCTGAGAGGGTGAGGTGAGCAGATCGTTGGAGGGTGGCCACACCGAAGGGACGGACTGTTTTTTCCGACACGGAAGAGGACACAGACAAGAAGAGCCGTGATGGTGGCCATGGCGGTGATGACCAGGGGGACCCATCAACTGTAGCTGAAAGTTGGATAACCTGATTTACTGACGCTTAAAGGACTTACAGGATCATGGGACTTAGCAGTTGGGTTATGACAGCTATAAGTAAGGTTACCACAGTCAAAAATAGCTTGTAACCCCAGGTAAGGTCTCCAAATGAGGAACCTGAGTATGAGAGTGTCGTACTTTTTTTAGGTGCCAAAGAAGGGAACCTGTTTTAGAGAATTGCCCAGGTGCTCGCTGGAATATCTTAGCCAACGTTTTGTTCTGGTAGGGTTTAGGTCGGGTTGATAGGTCTCTAGGTTCCCCAGTCCTGTAGTATACCCCTTTTTGCACTTTGTCTTTTTGGGTTCCCCTCTTAAAACCAACTAGCAGAAGAAAGGGTACCCTTATCAGTGAGCGGCTACTGGGGGAACTGGGGTTTCGGGTCTAAGGTTTAGGACTTGGGGACAGCAGGATCCTGAAGTAACCATAAGTAAACCCAAATGTGGTTTTTGGTTTAGGGTTTAGGGTTTTGGGTTTAGGGTTAAATGTTATTTTTACTAACCCGAAGCCCCCAGCCGTGGCAGCCAAAGCAGCTTGTCGTTGCAGGGCCCCAAACTTGAAAGTTTACGTTTCCTTGCAGCACCGGGGTTTAGCTTACGCAAACTCGACAACCCAAGCCCCTACTCCCAAATTCTAAAGCTAACCACAAACCCTGAGCCCATATACACTCCAACACATTTGCATATATCCTAACTGCCAAACGCCTAAACCCTAAACCCTAAACCCCTAAACCCTAAACCCCTAAACCCTAAACCCCTAAACCCTAAACCCCTAAACCCTAAACCCTAAACCCCTAAACCCTAAACCCCTAAACCCTAAACCCTAAACCCCTAAACCCTAAACCCCTAAACCCTAAACCCTAAACCCCTAAACCCTAAACCCTAAACCTTAATCACCAAGTCTTAAGTCCTAAACCATGAGCCCTAAGCACTAAGCCCGACTCTCTAAACCTTCAACCGTGACGGAAGATACGACCGGCTCTTAAGAACCAGGGCCGTGATACCCTAAACCCTAGGGTTTAGGGTTTAGGGTTTAGGGGTCTTTCAACCAACCAACCAACCTGTTCAGGGCCAGTTTAGAGTTTATAAGCTTTAGGGCAACCCAAGACCCTAAACCCTACCTTAAGCCGGAATAACCTACCTTTTTAAGGACTTATATAAGGAAGTTATAATAAGGAGCCCTAAAAAGGTAGGTTATTCCGGCTTAAGGTAAGCCACTACACTAAACCCCATAAAGTTGGAAGCCGGATTAAGGTCAAATAGTGCTGGGGCTCCTTATACATTACGTTTAAGGATAGAGGCTATTGGGTTTGCAACTTGTGGGCTTCTACTCTAAACCTTTAACCCTAAACCAAGCGATCGAAAATCGAAGGTACCCCGGTTGCCAACTCCGCTGCTGAAGACGTGTGGAGCGACGACGATCCCCGACTTGGTTTAGGTCCGCTTAGGTTTAGGTTTAGGTTTAGGGTTTAGGGGTTCAAGGTTTAAGGCTTAGAATAAAGGGTTTAGGGTTTAGGGCAAAACTCATTCCGTATCGTTCGTACCAGATGATTGTGAATTTGCGAAGCTGAAGGGGTTAGCCGTCGGAGCTATGTTCGTCGAATTTGCCACAAACACTCTTTTTCCAAAAGCCATCCCATGCCAGAGGGCCCCTGGACTTTTTGCGTTTCTGGCCGCCGGGACCGGGACTGTTGGGGCTTCTGGCCGTCGACACCGTGAAATGGTAGGAGGCCCACAAAAGCATGAATATCATAGAATTGACCGAAGACCCTTGAACTTTTCGAAAAACTAAAAATTATTCAGATGCCACTCGCTGGACCGTGTCTATGGGGTTAGAGTTCATAAGTTAGACGGGTACAGGGCCTAGGTTCAGGGTTGAGGTTTAGGTTTGCACAAGGGATTTGCAAAGGCTGTGTTATAAAGGTTCCAACATGTTTTTCCTTTAGGCGACATGGATCTTGCGATCTCCGAGGGGCTGCTTGCGCCACTGCCCCGTTTTGAATGGCTCCACAACATCATTGGGATGGTGATGAATGAAGCACTTCACTCGAACCAATGAAAGTTCATGATTCAGCGAGATAGGTCTCCCAGTGCTGCCTTGTCATTGTTGTCATTGTTGTTGTCAAGATTGGTCATAACAGGAGAAGGGTTGCCTCATATGCTCGACGGGGATGCTGGGACTTCTTTTTACGTTTGCGTGGCCTTTTGTGGACTTTTCCCTTTCAGCCGGAACTTACGAACATTGAGGCCTTGGCAACAACAGTTGGCTCCTTAGGGCTTGGAACTCAGGATTAAGAGCTGGCGTATACGATATGGGGCTCGGAGTGTTCTTAGGGGTACTCAGAAACAAGTTTTCATTTTTGGTTATTATAATCCCTAAGAAACAGCTAGAATTATAATTTTTGCTAGGGTTCTAAGTTCAGTATAGTGTTGGGCTGGGGGCGAGACTGGAGTGCCCTTCCACAGAAGCGAGTCGTTCCGGTCACAGGTGATGTCGCGTTAAGGGGGTTGGGGCAAATCGGTATACCTTTCTACGTAATATTGAAGTATCCATCATATGCCCGACGAAGCCCTGTATAAGCCGAGAAGCCTGGAACCTTGTGCCTTGCACCACGTTAGTAGGGCTTTTTCGCTGATCAGGAAGAGGGCGAGGATCGTTTTCACTTTGCGTGCTTCCCTGTGTCCATGGGCCTCTCAGCGTACTTCCGCCACTTGGCGCAGAACTGTGTTCTGGTAAATTCTAGCTGCCTGTAGACCCTGAACTTTGGGCGCTAATCCTGAGGGTCCATACAGGTTGTTCGAGGACTCCCGAGGTCTAAGTATTTAAAACCCTCTATGTTACCCGTTCAGATTGCAGGTTAAGGGGTTTAGGGTGAAGGGATTTGTCGATTTGCGATTTCGAAGGGTTTAGAGTTGAGTGCTATTTGCTGTCACAAGCCAATTGCATGGTGGCTGTGCCCACACAAGAGGCTTGCTCTACATGACATGATGCTCAGGAGCAGGGCCGGAGATGTTTTGTATCGGAGTAAAACACGGCTCACGAGCGACGATACGACAAGGGCCATGATACAGATGTTAACGGCGTAGACCCTAAACCCCCAAACCCCCGGGAACAGCGGCTTTAGGACTGTGAGTGTTCGGGGTTTGTTTTGCTTCAGGGGGGCAGAAGCCCATCAACGTCGCATTTGGAGTTTCGTGGAATCAGAGATTTCCTGAACCCTAAATGCCAACTGTTCCTCTGTAATTCTTACACCCATAAACCTGCTGCCCGAGGAAAGCAAGTACAAGGATCCTTCTTCTAACAACCCTAAAATAAGATACCTCTATTTTTCGGAAGCTCTAAACCCTAAGTCCGAGATAGAACCCTTACAGCTCCCATTAAGGAACCCTTAAAGGATCCCTCTAAAGGAACCCTAAGGTACCCCTATTTGTAGGTAAAACTCCTAGAACTCATATCTTGGCCCCGAATTCGAAGGCCCCGAACCCCAAGACTGTGAGACAGACCCGAGCCCTAGACCCTCAAGCGCTGAAAGACCTAAGCCGTGGAAGACCTCATAAACCCCATGGTTGGTTTAGGGTTTAGGCTTCAACACCCGAAAAGATCTTCACCCGACACTTCGACAAAGTCGAAAATGTGAACCCAGGCCCTTTTCGGGGCTTCGACTTCCCGCAATGTGGCGCCTTGCCGCCTCCTCTGATGCTGGCGGCCTGCAGCCAAAGCAGCTCGGATAGGGTGCAGTACAACTAATGTTGTTTTGAAGGTCTAGGGGCAGTGGTAGACACGTTTTTTTTTTGCAACAAGGGTAACTCGGTTGTTACGTGGTTCGCAGCCGTTAGCTTTTTTTCTTCAGATTTGTTCTAGGGTTTTCGAAGGTGTTTGCTTGGGCTGTGGAAGTTTCGTTTGATGTTCCCTGCCGGTAGCAGCAGCAAGAGTAAAGCAAGTAACGAAGAGGAGCACCAAGCAGCAGCAGCAGCGGCAGCAGCAGCAGCGTATGGGTCCTTAAGGGAGGGTGGTTCAAGGAGGGAGGGTACAAGGGATGCTTAGGGAACCTTCAGGGAACCTTGAGAGAGAACTAGGGATTAGTAGGTTATCTATCCCCCCTTGGAGCCCCCTCCCATAAGGATACCATAAGCAGTCGAGGGGCCGCCAAGCACTGTAGTTATTCCATTAGGGGTTTAGGGTTTAGGGTTCTTAGTAAGGGCTCCTGAAAAGGATCTATAGGGCTCCTTAGAGGGATCTATGGGGTTTAGGGTTTAGGGTTTACTTGGAGGGGCAGGGGACTTAGTAAGTAGGTTATAAGTAGGGTTATAACTGGGGTAACTCCATGTAGGGTACTTATTACTCTACTTATAACCTACTTACTAAGCCCCCTGCCCCTCCAAGTAGGGTTTATTACGACCCCATTTCAATTTTTTCGGGCTGCCGGCTTGCAGGGGGGGTTCGGCCGAAAAGGGCCGAATATCTGTTCTTTAAAGTCCTGGAAGCCGGTTTCCTGTAGCCTGGAGCGCACGACGTGCTGTCTCATGCAGAGACTTTGCGGGAGAGCCACAGTTGCACTAAACAAAGTCGGTGAACCACCAAATCTAAGACTTACGCTTTAACATGGGGGAATTTGCTTGACATTAAAGGCATAGAGTGCAGCCCTAGCCCAATTCGAACAGTTCAGGCCCCCATATAATGTTGGGGACCCTAATATAGTACCCTAGATAGAAGGATCCTTAATTATAATAACCACCCCAAAGTAATTCAGTAAGTACCCCTGATTTTCGGAAACTTTAAACCCTTATAGAACCCTGTAAAGGAACCCTTATAGTACCCTTATAGAGCCCTTTAAAGGAACCCCCTAGTTTTCGGAAACTCCCATATTCTGTTGGGAAGAGACCCTGAGCGGAGTCGTCCGCATCCTGCCAAGACCAAATGCAGTGCCCTGTTTTGGATAATTTGTTTGATGGCTGGGATCCTATACTACACTCAGAACTAAGAACATGAGATAATGAACACATCAGTGGAAAATGGGGACTACATTGTAGGAATCCGGGTGTGCAAGGCAAAACGCAGGATGCCAAGGACCTGCAGCTGCCCCAGGACTGGAGACCGGGATGCAAGAAGCTCCAAGAAAGACCTAAGTAAGGCTCCTGTAAAGATTCCTTCAAGACTAAGCCCCTTCAATTATAAGATATTGTAAGGGGGTCCTTAATATGACATAGAGTATATTCCGGCGGAGCCTTGGGGACAGGGGGCTTGAAGAACACTACCTTGTCACAGTATGTCAGGTTCTTCCTGTTATTCCCCAAACAGTGCGGCGAAACCCTTATCAACCCTAAACCTTGCATTTTCGGGATTCAGGGCTTTGGGCACATGGACAGCATCGAAGCTGCCTGAAGCTTCAGATGTTGATATGGTCGCCCACAACCGAAAGCGTTCATATCCCCGAAAACCCTGAACCCTAGGCCCCACCCCAAACTCTTCAACCCTAGACTGGCCCTAAACCGTGAACCTTAGGCCCTAAGCCACTTCCACCCGAAACCTTGAAAACACAATGGCCCATGGCCCAAGCCCTGAAACCTTTGCTACAGACCATGTATAGATTTGTTGGTCACGCACCGGCAATGCAAAACGAGCCGTACATGCCCTCGTACGGCCCCCTTTCACCCCAAAATGAATCTTTAACGGAGCTTTTCAACAAAACCTTAGAGGACCCTCCCGGCATCATCTTTCAAGGGAGACCAGAAGCAAGCCCTCAAAGGAGCCCTTCCCTTTCCCCCAAAAAATGCCTTCAAATGGACCTCCAAAGATGCCCTTAAACCCTATACCCCTGACCCTAAGCCCTTCTAGATTCTACCTATAGTCTCCATTGTAGTTCCTTTTTTTAGTTTACCAAATTTTATATTAAGGCTCCTAAAAGGCAACCCCAAAAAGGAACTACAATGGAGACTATAGGTAGGACCCTTCAAAAGGAACCCTCATAGATCCCCTATAGAACCCCTACAGATCCCTTCAAGGCACCCCTAACGGATGCTTCCAAGGACCCCCTCTCCATCCAAAACCCTAAACCTTATAAACCCTAAGCCTCATTAAAACTTAAACCCTAAGCCTAAACCTTACAAACCCTAAACCCTAAAGCCTAAGCCCTGCAAACCCTCATGAAACCTTATACCCTCAACCTTATGAAACCTGAACCCTGAAGCCTAAACCCTACAAACCCTGAATCCTAAGCCCTAACCCTTGTGAACCCTAAACCCTAAAGCCTAAACCTTATAAACCCTATCCCTAAATCTTATGAGCCCTCAACCCTAAACCTTATGAGCCCTAAACCCTAAACCCGAAACACCCTAAACCCTAAACGCAAAACGACTGGTCTAAGGACCCTCAGCGGGTTTCATTGCCTCGCCGGCCCGGGCCTCCGCTGCCTCGCGGCCATTGCTTGCGCCCTCCGGCCGAAAGTGTGGTTCTACCTATAGTCTCCACTGTAGTTCCCTGTTTTAGTGTAACCAATTTTATATCAAGGATCCTAAAAAAAAGGTAACCCCAAAAAGGAACTACAATGGAGCCTATAGGTAGGATTGACCGGTATCCCCAAACCCTACTTGGAGGGTCGGGGGACTTAGTAAGTAGGTAGTAAGTAGACTTATAAGTACCCTAAAAGGGACCCTAATTGGGGTTGTGGTACTTATAAGTCCCCACAATAACCAGTTACTAAGTCCCCCGACCCTCCAAGTACAAAATGGTAGCTTATGACCCCTGACTTAGAGGGTCTAACCCTTAAAACGGTAGGTTTTTGGATCGACAGGTGGGGTTTAGTGGTTTGAGGGGTTTAGGGGTATTAGGGGTTTTAGGTGTTTGGGGTTTTTAGGGGTTTGGGGTTTAGGCGTCTTCGGGGTTCTAGGGTTTAAGAAGATTTAAGGCCAGGGTTTATATCGGCTAACTCTAAACTTCTGGGGTTAATCAGGGATCTAAGTGGACCAGTCCGGAAGTCATACAGTAGAAGCCAGAAAGTTGGAATATCATTATCGTAACCCCTTTAAGGTAAATTATAAGGGATCCTACCATTAATCCATATTCCAACTTTCTGGAGTTCCCTCTAAGGTGCCCACAAGGCTTCCTCTTTGGGTTTTTTAGGGTTGCCCGGTACGTAGGGGCTTAAGCAGCCTGTGGTAAGTTTACTCCGGGGCTTATCTGGTCTTTAATGCCCCCACAGTGTTGCCGGGCTTTGGTAGGTTAGTGTTGTTTTACCTAACATAGGGCGTTACAAGTTTTCAATAGGGTTTTTTATGGATTCAGGCATACCAGGAAGGTCCTCAATAAGAAGCCCTATACCCATGGGCTCCATCATAGTTCCTTTTGGGGGTTCATATTTAGAATCCTCTAAGGTACTCCCAAAAAGGAACTACTATGGAGCCTGTGGGTAGTTACCATTTTAGGTGATGGAAGATCGTGGGGATCATAAGAAGCAGCCCTAAAACTCAAAGTTCAGGAATGGCCCTTGTAAGCCCCTTTAAACCAGAAAGGGCACCCTTTTCATTCCTAGGATATTCTTAGGTCTAGTCTGAAATCACAATATGAAGCATTGCAAGCTTAAGCCAAGCGGTACTCCTTGAATCATAGTACAAGGCTCTACATGACTCATGGCTGCTTCATTACATGGGCTCTGTGGGTTGATCCTGTTTCTTGCAGTCAGTAGGATGAAGCGCCTGGGCTGTGGTCAGGAGCCCAAAAAGCACCCAAGCATAAACTTTCGGGTGGGACATCCCTATCGTATTGGCTCAATTAAACAGGGGATTCTGGGATATCCCAACCTTATGGTTTTTGTGTATGTCCCTTTTGGGGTCCCTAATGGGTTGCAGAGTTTGGGGTTGCGACTGTCGGGCTTTGAGGTTCTTGTTAGTAAGCCCGCAGTACTTTACGATGTGCTTCCTGTTGGCCTCAATGCAATTCCCCCAGGGTCCAAAGGACCCAATTATCAGGTACTCGATTTTAGGATAGTAGTTATGTAGGTTAGGATTTTGGAGAGTATATGATTATTGGGTACTTGGACCCTTGGGGATTCTAGTACGCCATACCCAACAACCCTAGTGGAAGGACTTACAAGTATCGGTTACTGTAGGGGCCTAAGTAATTCCCTATGCTCTTTTTGGGGGTTCTTGTTTTTTAATAATAGTAAATAATACCCCCCAAACCCTATTCTATAATTATTAAGGCCCCTATATTGGGCTTCAGGCAGGAATGCGATGCCGGTGAACATTCAGCACTTCAGGGACCCCATCCGTAACGGGAGAAGCTTGAGCTATCAAGCTGGACATCCAGTACGACAGGCCTCGTTCCTAGTAGAGGAAGGCAGTGTCAGGGTCCTACTTGGAGGATCATGGGACTTAGTAAGTAGGGTTATAAGTACCTTAATTGGGATTATAAATACTTACAAGTGTAGTTACCTTACTTATAACCCCAGTTACTAATTCCCATGATCCGTCAAGTACGCTTTGTGATGCTGTAGCTCTGGCTATGATATAATGCTTGTGCAGGTTCCTCAGTGTTGAACTCACTTCCAGACCCAGAAAACCCTAAACACTAAACCTCATTCCGGATCCCAAACTCTAAACTCTGGACGATAGCCTGAACCCGAGACAGCATCCTTGCAAGATAGATTCTATCTCGTTCTACAACTTTTGTAGAGCCCTTAAGTGATCTCTTGACTCGACAGGTTGCTTAATATAGGGGCCTTAATAGTTAACTATACTGTTTTGGGGGGCTCCCTATTATAATTCTAGTATAATGGACCCCACAACCCTAGTCTACTTGTTAAGGCCTCCATATTCGAAACCTGCTACAAAAATGAAGCCCCTATGCAACACCTCAGGATAACGAGAGCTTGCTTTGCTTCATCTTCCGGCATTCCCATGAAGCGTCGAGCTTGGAGATCCGCTCCAACAACGACGCTTGGCCAAGATATGAGGTCGAAGTTTGCTGATAGTAGTATCCCCTGATAGTCCCTAGATAAAGAATTATAGCATAGTTTTCGGCATTTCCTACGACCCCTCCATCGAGGCGTTAGTAGGCTTTAGGGTCCTGGGATTACAAAATGTTGTTAGGGGAATTGGGAGTAGGGTGGTTCTAGGGTTTAAAGGCTTTGGATTTGGGGTTTAGGGTGTTTAGGGATACTAGTAGCCGTTAGGGTTGAGGAATTTGGAAAGAGAGCCGATGACCCTGACTGGTCTACATAGAGCCCAAACCGCTGCTACCCAAAACAGCGCGAAAGGCAGTAGCACGGTCTTTGAGCCCACTAACTTCAAGCATGAGACCTGCAAGCCTTAGGGTGAACTTGGAACAACGGCCTTACCGGCAATGGTTGCTTCATAACTAGTGTCTTGGGGTACGTGTTGCCTTTCCGTGATTGGGTTGATGAGGATCTCGTTTGACAGCATCTTTCAGAGGGTGTTGAGGGCGTGCTTGCGTTCTTAAGAACCAGAAAACATATTGAACTACTGTTGATGATATAAATCCTGCATGAGCCATAGTAAGGAATATACCATAATTCCCATATTTTGGGGCCCTTAAGGTAATGCAGGATTTATATCATCAACCGTATGTTCACGGGAACAGCCCGAAAGCTTGATCAAGCAAACCCGGACTGCAGGCCCCTGATAGCTCTATCTAAATATATATATATATATATATATATATATATACATATATATATATATAAGTATAAGTCTTGACCAAGGGTGTAGGGTTAAGGGTTTCGGGCTTGGGGAGACCCACCTATAATCAGTTCGTAAACTAAATCGTGAAGCCTAGACTTAGACCCCATGGTTGTAACCCTTTCTTCAAGCTTTCATGGAGCCCTCAAAGGAAGCAATCCTAAACCCTAAATCCTAAACCCTAAACCCTAACTCCCAAACTCCTAAACTCCTAAACCCTAAACCCAGCAGGAGTGGCTGATTCAAGCGGTATCTGACAACTTGATGTTTTGGATGCTGGCGGATGCTGCCTAGCAGGCAGTGCTTGGAACGGCTGATGGGCTTCAGGGTTCCCATAAAGGGGTCCTCTTAATATGAGTATTCCTTTCAGGGCTCCTTTGACAGTTTCTTTAAGGGTTCCTGTAAGGATGTATGCTTCTGGGCTCCAAGCCAGGGACCCCAACTCCCAGACTACACCCTAAGGAAGCTTCATCGCTAATTCCTAAACCCTAAACCCTAAGCCACCAAGCATGTTTCAGCGCGTTTCCCGGGAGTCTCTGCAGCCAAAGATTTTGCTGCCAGTGCTCGGAGCAAAAGAATGTGTGGCAGTCATATAATGCATGTATAGGGGTGTTCTATAAGGGTTCTGTACTAGATGCATAAGGCGTCTGTAGTCCCTAAGGGGTTCAGGGTTTGAGTTTATTTTTTGCGCGATGATGGTAGAAAACTCCCAGTATAAGCCGTAAACTTAATCAAGCAACAAGACCCGCAGCCGCCTCTTGGTTGTTTACCCTAAAACCGTTAACAAAACCCTAGATCCCTATCAGCCTCAAGTCCTGAAACCTAAATCAGATAAAAGCAAGGCCGAAGCCCTACAACTTCGATCCTATTTGCTGTGGTTGCTTTGATCCATGAGCAGTGTAAATCCTGCAAAACCCTGAGCCGTTTTTGCACCAAGCCCCTCCTGTGCCCTATACCCTGCACCTCAAACGAGGCAAACCCAAAAGCCTCAACCTTAAACTCTAAACCCCTAGATATGAACCCCAACCAAACCCTAAGCCCGAAATACAATCCCTAAACCATAAACCTAAGTACAGGCCCGAGCCATAAACCCTAAATATTGGCCCTAAATATAGCCTTAAAAATAAATCCTAAACCTTGAACTTGGAGTAGAAACTCCAAACCCCAAGCCCTGAAAATCCACTCTAAACCACAAACCGCCGGCCTCCGAAAACCTCGGTTCTTCACATATCTGAAACCCTGAAACCGAATTCCAAGCCATAAGTATGAACCCTAACTCCCAAATATCAGCCCTAAATTCCCTAAATCCTAAACCCTAAATTTCAAGCCCTGAACCATAAACCCTGAATATAAGCCCTAAACCATAAACCGCCGGCCTGCCCGGTTCTCGGCTCTTAACAGTTTCACGCGTTGAGTCCGACGGCCGCCGCGCTGCCGCGGCCGTGGATGAGCGGAAGCCTCGGTGAGTGGAGCCCGGAGACTCCAAACCCCCATGGATGGTTTTGGGGTTTAGGGTTTAGGGTTTGGGGTTTAGGGTTCAGGGTTTAGGGTTTAGGGTTTAGGGTTTAGGGTTTGGGGGTTTAGGGTTTAGGGTTTAGGTTAGGGTTTAGGGTTTAGGTTTAGGGTTTAGGGTTTGGGTTAGGGTTTAGGGTTTAGGGGTTTAGGGGGTTTAGGGTTTAGGGTTTAGGGTTTAGGGTTTAGGGTTTTGGGTTTTGGGTTTAGGGGGTTGGGGTTTAGGGTTTTGGGTTCAGGGTAAGGCTCCAAAAAGGGATCTCTAGGTGTTCCTTTAAAGGGATCCATAAGGGATCTATAGGTCCAAGGGACCCAATGATCAGGTACTCGGTTTTAGGATACTGTGAAAACAATGTATAAGAGCACCGTTCGGCGAGAGTAGCCTACCGTAAGGTTCTTAATTAATTTCCATTACATGTGATTTCGCCGGTCGAGCAGCTAGGGTAGGCTCAGGTTCTTAAGCACGTTCTTATCCGCGATTGGTACCTTGACTGAGGGCTCTCAGGAAATTTACGCTCGGATTCTAAATTTCCTTCTGGGGGGGGTGGGCCATGGGGGTCTGGAAAATTTAGTTTTCAATTCCAAATTTCCACAGCTCGTTGAAAGGATTCGGGGCAGAGGGCATGGCCAGGGGCCCTCCAGAAGATTTACTTTTGGATTCTAAATTCCCTGGTGCCGGGCCAGGAGGAGGCTGGTGTGGACAATTTATTTTTCAATTCTAAATTTCCACGGTTTGGTGGCAAAGGGCTCCGTCTCCGAGGAATACGCGCTGCGGGCTTGACACCGCTGGGGATTGAAACAAAGGTTTTCGCATAGGGGCATGTGCGGAACCACTGCGCTAAGGAGTGCTGTCCTGGAGCCGGTCAGTGTCCTCACCGTGGGGGCGAGGGGTTTTTGGAGGTCGGGAGGCAGGACTGGAAATTTACTTTTGGATTCTAAATTTCCTGAGCTAGATCAGCCTACCCTCACCCCTATCCCCTAAACCCTAATTTGAGGGAGGAGCAGTGCAGTCGCAGTAGTAGCAGTCGTAGAAGAAAAGTAGTACTACTACCGCTACTACTGCTACTGCAGGGAAGCACAGGGCTCGGAGTGTGGAAAAATTGAGTTTTCAAATCTGAAATTCCTGGTGCCTTGGAGTCATGGGAGCACAGGCAGGATGCTGGAGGTTTGGAAAATTTAGTGTTTAATTTAAAATTTCCTGTGCGTGACACCAGTGGGATTCGAAACAGCAGCCTCTTGTCTCCAGAATCTATGCACAACCACTGCGCTGTGGCATTCCTGCCGCCGTGTAGCCATTATACATTCATTATGTTCAGGCAGAGGGTTTCTTGATGTGCAGGGTTGGGAAATTTAGTTTTCAATTCTAAATTTGCTTGTTGAAGGAAAGCACCCATAGAATTAAGAACCTGGCCAAAAAAACTAGGGTACCCTAAAAACACTCTAGTAGTTATGTAGGTTAGGATAATGGAGAGTATATGATTATTGGGTACTTGGACCCTTGGGGGATTGATTCAGGGTTTAGGGTTTAAGGTCTTTAGGCTTCAGGGGTTTAGGGTCTATAGGGGCTTATGCTGCAGGTTTTTCAGGGCTTAAGGGTTTGGGGCTCAGGGGAGGGGCTGTGTATGGCCTTTGAAAGGGTTTTACATTCTTAAGCAGGCTTTATGAAGGAATGCACCTCAAATCTTCAGACCCCAGCCCTTTTAAAAGAGGATTCAGGGTTTAGTACTATATTTCCGGGTTTTCCGGGTTTAGGGACTTTAGGGTTTTGGGTTAAGGGGGTTTGGGGTGTAGGGTTTAGGGCTGAAGGGAGAAGGAATATTCCTTAAGTCATTTTTTGGGATCCTACTGCCATTTGAGGTATATTCCCTATTTAGGGGATATTGGAGTCTCTGGGTTCTAAACAATATACCCGATGATATGATACTACAATATGTAGAATATACCCTATGAGAACAGTACCACGATGCAAACGCTCTGCCTTATGCCTCAAATATAATATCCTTTGAAATAAACAATATGCCCTAGGATAATGATACTATAGATTATATAACGCACCCAAACTCGTATCCCCCTGAGGAATTCGATTTTCATGCTGGACGACAGCATCATTGCAGAGGCTGGGTAGGGTTCAGGGACTCTGACCCGTGCTTCCTCAAGAGCATGTGGGGTCGAGGTTCCTACGTGGTGGCTTAACATAGCTACAGGTAGGTTTATCACTCAGGTAGTAAAGCTTCCGCGGGTTGGAATTTGAGGCGCACCTACAAGTTGTGGGGTCTGTTTCCTGGGGTTCTACTGTAGTCTAAACCCAAAGCCCTCAAAAATCTTGCGGCTTTCTATAGAACCCCAAACCCCAAACCCTAAGCTGTGCCTATGAATCTATTACCTCGTATCCAGAGACTCTAGAACCCTTCGTCGACGAACCTACCTTGAAGCATGGCGGGGATTCTTTATGATGAACTTAGGTGCATTCCTGTAAGGTCTTTTGCAGTGTCTGGGAACAATCCGAGCTGCACCTTCCCGTGCTGGACCAATTGATCTTGAATCTCTACCCCTGAAAAACAAACGGTGTTCGGGGTCTGGGGTTGAGGGTTTGGGGGCCTATACGGCCCTTTATGGGGTTATAACGGCCGAAGTTCCTGAACCTGGAAGTCCTCACTAGGACCTTAGTGCAGGATTCCTAAACCCTGAACCCTACATCCCAAGCAGCGTACCACGAGCGAGTCCTTGGCTCTTTGCTTCTTGCATCTCACGAATCTCAACGAAAAAGGTTCCATCATCTTTTTAAGAGGGTTTAGGGGTCATTCTGAGGGTTGTTCCTAATTTAAGCACGCCTGGATTCCAAAAGTATCCAGAATCATCGGCTTGTATTGTTGTTGGGTCAGGGCAATTTGTACACCTAATTCTCGCGGGTTACTTAAGGGATCCTGGGACTTCGTAATTGGGTTTATACGTCAGGTAACTACAGTTATAATAACATATAGCCACAGTCAAGGTACTTATATCCCTACTTGCTAAGTAAGTCCCATGATCCTCCAAGTAGGTGTGGATCACCGCACCCTGAGGGTCCATGTACTCCTATACCATATACTTGGGTCCCAAAGTACCTGAATACGGACTGCATTGAGGCCGATGGATATACTATGTAAGTACATGGCCCTTTAGGGACAGTTGACAGTTGAAACGACCCAGAGTCGGGGGCTTCGCCATGCTGTGCCATCAACCGCACCAGCTGTGCTAAATCTCCGAAGACTTTACCCCAAACCCTACACCCCGCACACGCTGAACCCTGAGAAGCCTCAATGGAAGCCTTGATATCCAGTTCCATGCCCCCAAGGGTCCAAAGGACCCAATAATCAGGCACTCGGTTTCAGGATAGTAGTTATGCAGGTTAGGATTTTGGAGAGTATATGATTCTTGCGTATTTGGACCCTTGGGGATTCTAGTACGCCATACCCAACAACCCTAGTGGAAGGACTTTCAAGTATCGGTTACTGTAGGGGCCTAAGTAATTCCCTATACACTTGTTGGGGGTTGTTGTTTTTAATACTAGTAAATAATCCTAAACCCATAGAGCTCCTGGTTGATTATCGGCTTTAGAGCTGTTGGGGGTCTGGGGTTTGCCGGTTTGGGGGTTTAGGGACGTATGGGTCTATGTTTTTAGTTTGGGATTGACAACCTCACCTATAGTCTCCATCGTAGTCCTTTTTGGGGGTTAAACCATTTTCCTTGTTACGATCCTACAAGGTGAGCCAGCAAAGGAGCTGCAACAGAGACTGGATGCCTAGAGGTAAACCTCAAACCCTCAGCGCTAACCCTAAGGCTCACAACATGGTCCTTAGGCCCAAAAGCCTTGCAGCCTGAGTCCTTAGAGCCTTAAACTATGAGTCCTTAGAGCCTTAAAATACGAGTCCTTAGAGGCTGAAAATATGAGTTTTTAGAGCCTTAGGTTAAACTGATAAACCTACCTGAAGCCTCAAAAGTAGGGGCCTAGGAATCCCTATATTGTATATGAACCTTCAGCCCTTTTTGGCGTTCATTTCGCCATTAAGGTAATAACCTCAGGGTAACTCTTTTTTTGGCCGATCTGCCAGGATTCTCCTCGTAACGAGGATGCACGGGCGTCGCGCCAGGGCCCTGTTTCTGTACAGCCGGGGCATTTCACCAGCCCTAACCCACCTAAATCCTAGACCTAAACCCAAACCTTATACCCTTACCTAGAGCCCCCAACTACCCTTTATGGTAGCCCCTAATTAACTCTTAATGAGAAATATTAGAGCCCTTTAAGGGGTACTTGGGGGGTCCTGGTAAACACCAAACCTCAAACTCTACCTTAAGCCGGAATAACCTACCTTTTTAAGGACTTATATAAGGAAATCATAATAAGGAACCCTAAAAAGGTAGGTTATTCCGGCTTAAGCTAGCCCCTGGACCCTGGGCTCTTGGGCCCTAGGCGCTAAACCTTTAATTGAAATCGCAGGGCGTTCTCAGCAAGGTGATGAGAACCTGAATTCCGTGGCATGGTGTTGCAGACCCCCTCTCCCTCATGAGTCACAGCAGGGATGCTTGCTTCGCTATCCCTAAACGCCTCAAGGAAGCAGTGGTGCCACGTTATTTGCTGACAATTCTCCCTAGTCCTAGTTTCGCTGGTTCCCCAGGTACTCCCACACCCCTTCACAAGTAAATGTACCTGAAGTCATGGCAAATACCCCTTTCTATAACTTAAGGTAGAACCACCGTTGATAAAGCTGCGTTTCGGAGTCCCTGGGCACTCAGACGATGCAGTGCTGAGATTTGTGCTGGTTATGCTCAACATCCTTCAGACATCCGGATTTCGGAGACAGTGTTTGTTTGAGACGAAGATTTACATGGAGATCCTTGCGCAGCCTTTCGGAATCCAAGAAATTAACGGCTCCAAGGTGTTTCCGGATGTGACAACAGGGAAGATTGGAGATCTTATATTTGACAAGTATTTGACAGATACGTGCCCCACGCAGCTCCAAGACTGATCTCGTCTGCAATATCCACGTTCGAACTCCCAACACCTATGGCATCCTATCGCTCAGAATGGTGAACGCAGCCTCCCACGCAATGTCTGTGAAGCGGACTTTCAAAGATGCGAAGCTTGTAAGACAGTACCTTGAAGAATGGGAACTGTCAGAGCTTCATGAAGCTTTTCCTGACAGACCTCTCATGTTTTACAAGGCCTTGCGGAAAATTCCTTTAATTTGGAAAGGTGCGGGATGCGCATCGAAAATGCGGCTAAGCGGCGGATTCTCGGGCGAGCACAGAAGTCTCGGAATGCTTGAGTTCGAAGACTCACTGAGACAGCTGACTTTGGGATCAGAGTCTTTCACTGCAGTCTATCGGGCCTCCTTTATGACACATTTTGGAGAAGGCAACTTGCCCTGGTGGTAGTGTCCTCTTCCGACAGAGTACGATGAAGTGTTTAGAGGTTCTGTGTGGGGCTCCTCGATAGAATTTCGATGTCGGACCTGGAAGCATCCTCCCCAGCTACCATTGCTTGGAGTTCTTCTGGTTGGCTTCTAGGACTTTCAGTTTTTGGGTTTCTATATGAACCAACTATAATGAGGAGGCTAAAAGATTAACTTTTCGGAGGTGTTCAGAAGTCAGCCAAGATTGCTTGTCTGGCATCAAGTACACGATCACCGAGCTCAGTGCTGTTGACAAAAGCATCAGAGACTAGAATCTTGTTGACGGCGCTTCACGCATCCAGATCAGAGATGGAGCTAAGGTGATCTACAATAGGGGCCAACAAATTACCTATACTATATTTGGGGGTTGCTTATTATTACTATTAGCGTAGTATAACGGGCCCCAAAACCCATTATTACGGCCCTACAGTACAGCCCCACCGTCTCTTCGGGGAGACATGCCTGGATCGACTTGAAAGCTTACCATGACATCACCGCGATCATGGGCTGTCCTCAGCCCGTAGGCAACTATGTAGACAAGCTTGGGGAGAAGGAGCAGACCGGATCCTATAGGTCCCAAAACCCTAAACCCTAAAACCTCAAACCCTACACCCCTAAACCCTAAAACCTCAAACCCTAAACCCCTAAACCCTACACCCGAAACCTTACTCTACTCGGGATAGTTAATTCCCCTTATTGTTGAATGTAGGCCTGTGATCATACCTCATTTGTAGGGGGTGGGTATTGAAATCGAAACGTAGTTTGTGGCTAATAGGGTTTAGGTGCTATTTGGCTGCGTGAAAATTCATGACAATGACCCCTGTCAGTGCGTAGAGCCCTATAGCCCCAAACCACCAAAACGATAAATCGTAAAACTCAAAACACTAATGTCCTAGAACCATTCTCAAAGCTCCTCACTCTGAATCCCTTAATCCTAAACATACCCCAAAGCCCAAAAACCCTCAATTCTCAATCCCTAGCCCGGCAGCTCAGCCCCGATGACTCCAGCAAGGCAAAGGCTGCTACAGCGCTTGGCTGATCAAGGCAGTGGCTTTCATTTCGTAATTGGCCGTTTAGCCGTCGTAGCTGAGTAGGTAACCTTTAACCTTTTGGGGGTTATATATCTATATTTAAGCCCACCAGCCATAATTGAAAATCCTAATATGGGAGTTTCCTAAAATAGGGGACCCCAAAATAGTACCCTAAGTAGTGGGATCCTTATTTTTAGGACCCAAAATATGGCACCCCTAATTTTAGGAACCTCCCATATGTTTTGGGCTAGGGCACTCAGCCCCCAAAGTGAACCCCAGAAAGTCGGAGCATGGATTTAGGGTGATTGGCATTGGACTCTCGAGGGAACGATGGTCCAAGTATCTGGCTTCTGCTTTACCGGTTTGGGGGCGTGGGGTTTAGGGTTTAGCGGTTCGGGGACGTAGGGTCAAGGGCTCTTGCTGCCATGTGAAGTAGGCCCTTAATGGAAGTTCTGTTGTTGCTGACCCTCTTTCCTCATAAATTCTGGGTCGCGCAGCCCAGCGATAAACTTGAATAGCCAAGATAAGGTCCTAAACCCTAAAGCCCGAGATACCTAAACCCTAAAGCCTTGAACCCTAAAGCCCTCAACCCTCAAACCCTGAAGCCCTAAGCCCTTTACTTAGGGCACAGCTTGGACTGAGAGCCGGCGTTCAGGAAGTCTTGTGAAGCCAGGGAGGACCATCAACCACATCGTCGCGGTTCAGGGTTAGGGGTTAAGGACCATGAGTTTCAAGATGAAAAAGTCGCTCTGGTCATCAAAGTCCTAGTGATACCAATGCCTCGGAGCAATGTTACGGCGACCTGCTGCATTTTTTCTTCGGAAAGGATGACGTAGAGTAGGTAACCTTTAACCTTTTTCGGGTAGCAGAGTCCTGATATAACCCTTTTGTAACCAAAAAGGTACGTTAACCTTCAGTTCCCCATGATACCCGACAAGTAGGTCTTGAGCCATCAGAATGCCCAGATTCGTTATGGCAACTCCCTATAAACCCTAAGCCTTATAGGCCCTAAATCCCTACGTCCCTAAACCCAGAAACCCCAAAAACCTTAACCCCTGAACCCTAAATCCCTAAATCCATTTGCATGAAACCCCAATTCCTTATTCAAGTCCTTAGACCCTAAACTCTTTGAACCTGGGGCATCCGAAGAGCTCCGAAGAGGGGTACCTTGTTTAGTGTTCTTTCCACTGCACATCCTGCTACCTCGGCTTTACTTGGGGAATCCTTCATATCTGAAGCTCCTGATACAAGTTAGTAAAACTTCCAGCTATCTGAAACCCCCACCCCCGCACAGAGCTTGCAAAGCCTCCAAATACTAGGATGCCCAGTAGTGCCCTTATTCCCTTTTTGTAGTCCTAGGTTCCTTATATAGTTACCCAATACCAAAAAGAGAGGCCTTTTTATTCTTAGCCTAAACCCCTGAAGTCTATGAACCCCCCAAACCCTAAACCCCGAAGTCTATGAACCCTCCAAACCCTCAACCCTAAACCCCTGAAGTCTATGAACCCCCCAAACCCTAAACCCCAAACCCCTGAAGTCGATGAACCCTCCAAACTCTCAACCCGAAACCCCGGAAGTCTACGAATCCCCCAAACCCTCAACCCCCAAACCTTAAACCATGAACCCCTGAAGTCTATGAACCCCCCAAACGCTAAACCCTAAACCCCTGATCCCAAAACCGCAAAGCTCTACCAACGAAGACCCTGAGACGCCTGCTAAGACTCCAAATAGCCCAAAAATAGGCAATGTAGGAACCAGATTAAGAAACCTTGTGCCTTTCTTAGGGTTCCTCAAATGAATTCTACTATTTTGGTGTTATGGGCCAGGCTTTCTTAATCAGGTTCCTACAATATCGTTGGTAGACTGTAGACCCCAAAGCAGGTTTCATGTGTATACTTGGAGTCTGAGGCGTCCCTAAACCCTGAATCCCAACTCCCTAAAGCCTCAAATCCCTCAACCTCGTAAAGCCTTAAGATATCTAAACCCTAAACCTTAAAACCCTAAACCCTAAAACCCTTTACCCTAAACCCTAAACCCTAAAACCCTAAACCCTAAACCCTAAACCCTAAAACCCTAAAACCCTAAAACCCTAAACCCTAAACGCCTAACCGGGCCAGGCCAAGAACGAGGCTGCCCGTTTGAGACTCCTCCAGAGCTCCACCACCAGGTGGGGTTTTTTTTGAAAATTGGGGGTACCTTAGGGTTCCTTTAAAGGGATCCTTTAAGGGTTCCTTTCCGGGATCTTTAAGGGTTCTATAAAGGGTTTAGGGTTTAGAGTTTCCGAGAATTAGGGGTACCGTATTCTGGGGTCCTTATAATAAGGATCCTACTAGCTAGGGTACTATATTAGGGTCCCCTACTTTCGGAAACTCCCAGGTGACTCGGACTTGAGCTCTTTGAGTCGGTTTGGGGTATACGGCCAGTTTTAGTTTAAACGAATGCAGGAAGGGATCGCCAAAGGAACCCGTGCAGATTATGTAGGAAATCTTAATAGAACCCTTCTCGAAACCTTCTATGAGCAACGGCTCTTAGAATCCTAGGTTCTAGGATTCTAAGAACCGTTGCAGGCACATGTTTTAGGGTTTGGGGGCTTAGGGTTTTCGTCTCAGGGTTTTAGGGTCCTTGTGTTATTTGTCGAGACGTTTGGCTGTAGGACACCCTAAACCCTAGGGTTTTGGGTTTTGGGGTTTAGGGTTTAGGGACCCCAAAGCCCCTAAACCCCTAAACCGTTGCGATGGTTTGCATTTGTGCGGTCGGCTTCTGCCCAAATCCCCATGAGGCCCTAAATCCAAGAAACCAAGAGGGCCCTGAATCCTAGGCCCTGCTTCTAACATAGATGTGACCGTCAAAATTGAGGTGCCTTTTTGGGTGCTGAATGTATTCTAGCAGGTAAGAAAGCAGGGTTGTGGGGCATGCTACAGAATATGTATAATCAAGCAATGATTGTGAAACGATATGATTACTGAATTCTCAGGCCTCCAAAGTACGTTCACATATCATCATACCCGAGCACCCTACTCATCCCGACCGACAAGTCAGCTTTGATTTCGGCTCCTGCTGTCCTCTGACTGCAGTGCGCCATGAGTAAGAAAATAGTCAGACAACAGCGCAGCACATTTCCCTTGCCTGCCTCCACAGGGCTTAGGTTTCAGGGGTTCAGGGTTATGCAACTTGCGACAACCAGTGATCAGTTTGGAGCCCCTGCAAAGCTGCATGAAATCCCATGAACCCTTGCTTGCTCAGGTACTTTACTATCGACTTCGATGCGCAGATATTTTACTACTCGCATTCCATCACACAGAAAAAGGCGGGGAGACAAGTCAGGTTGGTAGTTGTTGGTCGTTGCCGTCCATCAGCGATTGTGTTTGTGTTAGTTTCGGTCGCCACTTGCTGGCAGAATCCTCCAAATGGCCCGAGAAACTGAATTTGAATTACATGATTTAAGATGGTCCGTGGTCCCAAAAGCCAAAAACAACGACCTCGTAGAGTCTCAGTTAGTATACAGGTGACCGGTGTATGACTGCATCGGGGCGTTGGCTGCAAGTGAAAAGGGCTTTGGGTTTAGAGCAAAGTCATGAGCCTTCGGTTGGGCATATATGAGTATGCCAAAATATGCCCCCCCCCCCCCCCCCCCCCCCAGATCCTGTTCTAATCATTGTGCCCCTACGTTACATCACAGAACCCTTGTAGTAAAGAACCGTTGTCGAACCAGTAAGGCCCCTCTCTCTCACTGCTACCGTGCCCAGAGCCCTGCACTCGTGGCAGCGGCTAGGCATTCAAGGTTAGTGTCCCCCTGCTTGGAGGGTCCGGGACTTAGTAAGCACTTATTTTTTGCAGAGTTATAAGTATCACAACCTCAATTAAATTAAGATCCGTTTCAAGGTATTCATAACCATAGCTCTACTTATCTCCTTCTTACAACGTCTTCCGACCCTCCAAGGAACCCTAAACCTAAACCCTAAACGCTCCAAGTGTGCACCCTCACGCTCACAGCAGAGCTTGGTGAGCTCGTAACAAAGCCGCGCAACTGACCTTTGGACCTCTCTACTGTAGGGGCCTTAATAATTAGAATGAGGTACCCTAAACCCTAAACCCTAAACCCTAAACCCTAAACCCTAATATTGTACTATAGCCATAATAAGGAACCCCCAAAACCCTGTAATTACCAATTTTGTAGGCCCTTGCACTCTCCCTAAACCCTACACCAAAACCCTAAGCCTTAACCCTGAATTCTAAAGCTAGGACTATGAACCTTAGCTCAACCCTAAGCCCAAGTGCCGAACCCTACTTGGAGGATCATGGGACTTAGTAAGTAGGGTTATAGGTGCCTTAATTGGGGTTATAAGTGATAATAACCGGAGTTACCTTTTATAACCCCAATTACTAAATCCCATGAACCTTTAAATACCAGGGCCCAGTTCAACTTCGTAGTCTCGACGCTCAACTTCTTTTCGAATACAGTAAGGCTCCTTTTAAAGGGTTCCTTTAAAGGGATCTATAAGGGATCTATAGGGTTTCTATAAGAGTTCTATGGACTTAGCAAGTAGGGGTATAAGTACCTTAATTGGGGGTATATGTAATTCTAAGTGTAGTTACCTTACTTATAACCCCAATTACTAAGTCCCATGACCCTTCAAGTAAAGATCAATCCCTAAACGTGTCTAGGGTTTACCGGCACCCCAAAGAGCCTACCCTTTTGAGGCCCGTTATAAGGAGATCGTAATAAGGAACGGTATTTTCGGCCACAGGTAGGGTTAGAACCCTCGAAACCCGAAGCCCTAAACCCTACAGGGTGCATATCAACCCTCCACCCTAGGCCCTAAAAGCCATAAACCCCAAACCTTAAACCCTAACCCATAAACCTATGGTAAAACCCCAAAAAACAATAAACCCTGTCAGGTATCACAGCCTAATTAAACCCCCCAAACCTTAAACCCTAACCCATAGACCCATGGAAAATACCCTAAGAACCCATAACCCCTGTCAGGTATCACAGCCGATTCCATTCAGAGACTTCCTTGGCCTCGGCCCTGTGGGGACGTTGGGACGGGATGCAGGTCTGAAATCAGAGACACCAATATCCCTTAATTAAGGAATATTCCTTAAATAATATTAGGGATCCTACTATGATTTAAGGTATATTCCTTAATTAAGGGATATTGGAGTCTTTGGGAAATCAGAATGGCTCAGCATACATGCCCAAAGCCCTAAACGCGCTAAGCCCGGTTCAAGCTTGATATAGGGGAGTTTACCAGAATAGGGGACCCTAATATAGCAGGCCTAAATAGTAGGATCCTTATTATAAGGACCCCAAAATAAGGTAATTACCCCTAATTTTCGGGAACTCTAAACCCTAAGCCCTAACCCCTTCATAGAACCCTTATAGTACCCTTATAGTAACCCTTTAAAGGAACCCTAAGATACCCCTAATTGTCGGAAACTCCCATAGGTTTTTTCGGAACCCTTGGGATCTGAGAACTTAGATTGTCAGGGTTTGGGCCCAACCCAGAGACACAAAAAAACCCTTAATTAAGGAATATACCTAACAGTTCCTTAAAAGGGCTCCTTAAAGGGATCAATAAATGTTCTACAAGGGATTTAATGAAGGGATATACCTTAAATTATTGTAGGATCCCTAATATGATTTAAGGAATATTCCTTAATTCAGGAGTATTGGAGTCTCTGGGAAGACTATACCATGTGTAGGACTGTTGGGCGATTTTGAGCCGTAGGGATTCCAAACAAAGAGTTCTCCAAGCACATGCAGTTTGCGAGAAACGTCAGGGCTGTGTGGTCTCATGAACATTGTACGGCTGAAGAGCAGATTCCTGCGTTATCTCAGTGCCGCTGAATCAAACACGGTTTCTATTCCGCGTTATCCAAGCTGTTAGCTGAGGGACTGAAGCCCTGAACCTTACAATAGCTCTAAAGTCAGGATTGGCTCTAAACCCGCCTTTCAGGACTTTTAGGGCTTGGGATGTCATCTGATTTGCTGACTGTGAAGCGTGAAAGGGCTTTCAGCTCTCCAGTAGTCAGGATTGGGGCTTACAAGGTTCGTGCTCAGGTTTTACTGGATTGAAAAGGTGAGCTGATCATCAAAACGGGCTTCGGCGTCCATTCTAGCATTCAAAGACAGACTATAAAGTAACACTGTCAAATACTAGCTGCGCAAACCTCTTTATGGAGCATACCCTCCAAACAACTGTAAAATCCGTGAAGAGACGCTGAAGGGAACTTCAAGGAACCTGAACAGGAATCCTGAAGCAACCCGCTCCCTCTCCTTCCAAGGGGCCGAGCGGTGGCGGACTTAGGTGGCAGGTTTTACTGGGTATGCAGGCTTTCTTCATGCCGACCCCCGAAAAAGTCTCGGCTTCTTATGTAAGGATCACATGAGGTCCGTGCAGTGGTCCTTGTTCTACGGCGGCGGTGTAACTCTGTTTGAATGCAATGCACAGGCCTGAATGATCTGTATCCGTACCACGTTCTGTTCCCTATACAATGATACCATAAGATACGCAGAGTGCCAAAGCAAAGTACCAGAGTAGTGGGATTTGGGTCCTCAAATTCCATACTCTGAGTGGCTTTCCGTGCATAAACCCTAAACCCTTCTATTTGGGTACTTCGGTTGATGATATAAATCCTGCATTACCCAGAATAAGGAATATGCCATAATTCCCATAGTTTAGGGTAAAAGTAATGCAGGATTTATATCATCAGCCGTTGGACCCTCTGGGCAACTAAGGGTTAGTAGTTCAGGGACTCCCGGGCTTAAGGAAATAAAATACCGGAATACCCTAAGGCCCCAAAGTAGTTCCTGTTGGGGGTTCGTTTGTAGAATCCTATAAGGTAATCCCAAAAAGGAACTACTTTGGGGCCTATGGGTATGACGGTTTCTAGATTTGGGCTCTTCAGTGCTTTGGATTGGATGAAGGGCTTTAGGGTTCACGGTTCGGCGAAAGGCCGCAACGTCAAATTCGCGGACCGGTTTAGGGTTTTGGGGTTCGAGAGTTTCAGCCAAACCCTGATCCTTAAAAGTCCACGTGCCCAAATAGTACATTTACAATCGTCCCCCTAATAAAATGGTACTTGAGGGCCTTCTTCAAAGTATGTGCTATTTGGGCACACGGAACCCTTAAATTCAAGGAGCCACTAACGGAACCCTTTAAGCAACCCGAAAGGAAGCCCTAGGAGGTGATGCCCGAACGGAGCTGCCCGAACCCCTATGTAAACCAGCTAATTTGGATGAGTTGAATGCAAAGCCTGAGTTGGCATTGGATTGTGATCCAGCACAAGTTTCAGACCCGCAAGGTGTTCGATCAGGGCGACACCACTTTGCTTCGGGCACTCATGCGTCGGTACGGCTGGGAGCGACGAGTGCAGGCAGACCAGCCATGCTACTGGTCCCAGACTTTCAGCGAAGTGAAGAAGACCGAAGACTGGTCGCAATTTGCCTGGTTCTTGGTAACTGAGCTCTTGCACGCGCTGGCTGGCATCGGTGTGCGTGACTTGCACAACGCCAACGCAGTGTCGGAAGCCAGGCATTATATAGGATCTTGGAGGAGTCTTCACATGGGCTCTTGCAAGCCTACCTCGCCGACTACGACATCGAAGGATGCTTTTGCTTTTACATGATGGTCATCCATAATCGCGACTGCACCTTGTTCTATAAGATGGGACGCCCCAAAACCCAGAAAAAGTATATTGCGTGAATGGTCAAGGTAAACCGCATGCATTTCACGCCGGAACCCTCAACTCTAAACCTTCCGTGCCAAAGCCATGCAAACAAAGTCTACATCGTTTGGCCCTGCGCCTTGAGCAATGAACTTACTTCCAAAACTAAGCTTTTAAGTTGTTTAGTATTCTTCTGAAAAGTTAAACGGCGATGTTTAGGGGTCTCGGAGAAGCATACCTCAATGCAACCCAAATCCCAGAATTCGACCCCCCGAAACCCCAAAGCCACCAAACACCACCTGGACCCTCAAAGCCGAAAGCTCCAAACCTTTAAACTTTAAGTCTTAAACACATGGGGGGTTTCCGAAAATAGGGGACCCTTTTACAGTACCCCAAATAGTGTTATGACCCCCAAATGGGGTACCTAATTGTCGGAAACTCCCACATAAGCCTCAGAGCCCTAGCGCCTTGGCCCTAATTTTCCTAACCCGACGGCAAATTAGGGTTTAGGGTTTAGGGCAAACCCTATGTCGTCGGAAGTTGCAATTCGGTTTGACTGCCCTGTGGGCCGATTTGCCCCAATAGTATATGCTTTGGCCCTCACTTCATATACAGGGTTTACTTTACGACGTAAATCAAAACTAGATACTATTTGGGTAGTTGTCAAAATTAGGGTTCCTTCTGGGGTACCCTAAACAATAGGTGCCGTATTATGATAACGGCCCAAAGGGATCGTAATTTTGACAACCACCCATTTGGGTACATGGACTCCTTCTGAAAGCATTCAGACGACCCTTCATTGGGTTCCTATACTCAAACCTTGTTCTTAACATTAAGGTCCCGAGATTGAGCCCAGATAGTAACCCAAAGTCTTGTTCTTGGCATCAAGGCCCCTAGATTGAGCCCTTACAGTAATGTTCAGTCTATTTGTGTGGGAGTTCCCGAAACTTAGCGGTACCTCATTTTGGGGTCCTTATAGTCAGGTATTATTTAAGGTACTACATTAGGATCCCTTATTTTCGGTTTTTCCCATATCCCTACATTGTAGAACCCTTCTTTAGATCCTTTACAGACCCCCTAAAAGAACCCTTTAAAAGAGCCCTGAACCCCTACCCCTTAAAGGAACCCTGTTCGGTTTATTCATGTCCCTATACTATCAGCTCCAAGCAGCCTGAACCCAGAAACCTTAAAACCTAAACCCTAAACCCCGAAAGCCTAAACCCTACCCCCCGATATTATCTGCTCCAAACCTGACCTGAGGTTGCCACTGCCGGCCAAGTCGCGGAGGGGCAAAAGCCAGCGAGATACCAAGAGACCGACATAGGGTAGGATATGGTAGGGTGTAGGGCCTTAGGGTATGGTAGGGTTTAGGGCCTTAGGCTTTGGGGTTTGAGGGTTTTAGGGTTTGAGGCCTCAATTAGGGTTTAGGGTTTAGGGCCTTAGGATCCAGGGTTTCGGGCCTTAGGGCCTTCAGGGTTAGGGGCCTGAATAATTGGAGTAGCCTTCTCTCGACGGCTTTTGGGGTGTGTTGCTATATGCCTGCAGCAAGGAAACGTAAGGAACATTGCCACCAACTGATCAGGCTCTATGGTACCTTTACCGGCCTAGGGTCTTCAAGCAATCTTGCTTTGGGATTATAGAGGGCCCTTGAACTAGAAGAGACGTGACTAAATGATGCTGGGTTGAGGTACTATAGGGCCTTGAATTCTTACCTATACCATTTTTTGGGGTGGGGGTTCTACAATATGCCTCAAAACCCTATTCTACTTATTAAGGCCCCTGTATCAGCGTCCAGGGTTGCGCGATTAAGGGTCTCAAGGTTTTGACTGTTCCGGGCCTGGGGTTCGGATTTTGGGGTTTAGGGTTAAGGGTATTTAGGGTTCAGGCTTTAGGGTTTAGGGCTTTAGGGTTTTAGGGGTTTAGGGGTTTAGGGGTTAGTGGGTTTGTGTTTGAGGAGTTTGGGTTTCGACCCCTCCCCCTCTGAGGCTTCAAGGAGTCATGCACCTAAGAATCACCAGACGACCAGACGCTCCTCTGATCGACAGTTTCTAGTCTCACGTATTCTAAATCCTAAACTCAAATACCTCCTTTGTAGATACGCTCTAGAACGCTATAGCTCTACGAAATGCACGAGAGAGCCTGGTCCCTGAGGTGCAACACAGCACAAAGCCGTCGCACGGTATGGCTTTCGAGCCCAAACGCCTCAACCCAAGAGCCTAAACCCTAAACCCCAAAGCCTAAACTTTCAGGGTCCATGTACCCGAATAGTATTTAGTTTGGCCCCAAAGTAGTTGTATAGGAACTACATGAAGACCAAACAAAGTATCTACTATTTGGGCACATGGACCCTTAGCTCCTGCACCGGGACAGGTCAAAGAGGAGTTGGCTGTGCAGGTTCCGCTCGTGTGCTTACGGGATGATCGGTGCCCAGCAATCCTACAGCTCCTCTACCGTATCTCCCAGGCAGGACCGAGACAGGACCAGGTGATCAGCTGCTGGACGAGGACAAGAAGAACCTGGCGGCGGCCAAGCCACAACTTGCAGCATTGAAGGAGCAGTGGCCGGCAGAGCTTCTCCCACCACCTGTAGCGGCGATGCCGCTGTGCACGGACGTGGAGTCCTTGGAGGCCTTAAGGGATAAGGGAGTAACGGTCTGTACTCATAAAAGGCGTAAGCCTTTTATGAGTATAGACCGGGGCTGGCATGGCTCGCCTTGGCTGTCTTGATAATCTTCTAGGAAAGCCCTAAGCCCAAAACCTCCTTACAGCCGAAAGGGTTCCCCAAATCCTCACGGGAACCCGGTTTTCGAGCGTTTGCTGCTTCCGAGAATCCTATGCCCTTAACCGCAGGGGAACCCTCAAGCCCCATGACTCTGAACCCCACACCCTGATGTAGAACATGCTCTTTTTATTTTTGCTTAGTTGTTTTACGTTTGGCTTCCTAAAACCCTAAACCCTAAGCTTCACCTAAACTCTAAACAAACCCTAATCCCTTAACCCTAAGCTTTACACACCCTAAAACCTAAACAAGCCCTAAACCCGAAACCCTACATTTTACACAAGCTCCAAGCCCTAAACAAACCCTAAACCGTAAAGTCCAATTTAGGACCTTTGGCTTCACCCTCAACACCAACCCATTCATAGTACCCTTAAAGATCCCTTACTATAATCCTTTTTTTGGAACCCTTACCTGAACACTTAGGACTTTTGGCTTCACCCTCAACACCAAAGATCGGCACTTCGAGCCTGGCGCTCAAGCAGCTCCCAGTGTTTACCTATACTTTAGGGGTCATGGGACTTAGTAACCTAAAGGGGATTCTTAAGGGGTTCCTTAAAAAGGGTTCTGTAAGAGATCTCTCAGGGTTTAGGGCTTAAAGGATCATGGGACTTAGTATTGGGGATACAATGTAATAAGGTAACTACACTTAGAATTACTTATATCCCCAATTGAGGTACTTATGACCCTACTTGCTAAGTCCCACGATCCTCCAAGTATAGTCTCCATTGCGGTCATGTGTATTTCCTTTGTTGGTGAAGCCAAAGTTTCGGGGTCAGGTTCCGTTATTATAGCGGCCTTAGACTCAGCTTGGTGAACATGTCATGTAGGTGTTTAGGGGTTTCAGATTTAAAGTCGCGGTTCACAAAGGCAATAACAAAGGTCTAGAACAGTATAATTGAAACTCAAAGTTTGCGGTGATCTGTCCTATGCCCACTTTCCACGCCACAGGCAGCACAGGCAGCTCATGAATCCTGAACCCTAAACCCAAAAAGGCGTTGCCAGTCCGGCGGACACTTGCGGAAACGATGGGCATGAAGGGAGCGCTTGCCGTGGAGGGCTTGCCGTAGGGTTCCATAGAGGCCGGGGAGCCAAGAATGTTTGCGAGTCCTTTCGACAGATTGTCTTATTCCCGAGCTTTTCGAAGACCACTAGGCTGTCCGTCCGTCTCGCAATTCGCGTCCTCTACGTGAAACAAGTTCCGGCCTTGCAGTTGGGCGGGAAGCCCGGGGAGTCTGCTTCGGCACGCAACTCGTCCGCGCATTCCTATGCTGGAATCAACAGCTCAGGCGAAGCTGCTATGTCCTCTTTGTGGACATCGCTTCGGCTGTTGATGCAGTTGTCTGCAAACTGGCGGCGGCTCTTCGATCACAGTCTGACCACCCATAGGTCTTGGCGCTCGACGCGTTTAGCTGCGGCCTTCAACCCCAAACCCCTGGACCCGTCCAAGAATTGGCTACAAGACAGGTGCAGCTGGCTAGAAGTCTGCAGTCCATCCCGAAACTGGTCTAAGTCTTATTGTCGTGTCTCTTGCACGTCCCTGTTGAGGCTTGTTGTGGTGGTTATGATTGAGTCGGGAAGCGGATTGCTACTCTACGGAAGCTTTACTATACTACAGTCATAGTCAAGTGGCATAGTGACAGCTTACTTACGGGGTTTAGTGTTGCCATTCCGAAGAAGTTCTAAACCGCTTCAATAGTCGCCTGTGCCCGAAAGCGTCACCGACAGAGAGAAACTCAATTAGAACCCAGAGGGCCCATACATACCACCATTATGGAATTGGGTCCCAAAAGACCATCCCTCTTCTGGTTTTGGGCCCTAATCCCATAAGAGGAGTATGTATGGGCCCTCTTATCATTAAGCCCTAAACCCTAAATTGAGAAGAAACCCTAATCCCTAAACCCTAAATTGAGAAGCAGGCTTTACACCTCGAGTGCCGCAGATGCAGCACAGCCAGGGGCCCAGACATGCAGAAACGCAGGGGCTCAAGCTCTAGGTTTGGGGCTGTTTAAGGTGTTTAAGGTTTAGGACATGGGTAGTTGTCAAAATTACGGTCCCTATTTGGGTACCCTAAATATTAGGTGCCGTATTATCTTAGGGATCCAAAGAGGGACATGAGTGGTTCAGAGTTTAGTGTTAAGGGCTAGGGCCTATGGCTCGGGGTTTATTGAATTGGGTTTAGGGCCTTCAGTGTTTAGGACTTAGAGTTCAGTTGGCATGGCACTTCTCTGTGCAATGCACACGGCAGTAAATTTAATGTAACTTAAGCGCCTGAACCATTAGTGCTCTTCGTCCGGGTTCCCGAATACAAGTATGCTACAACGTCAAAAGCCACCTCAAGACCCTGCTTTTATCTTTGAGGCCCCTACTGCAGCAACCTGAATTGGAAATCCATGATTCTTAATCTGTCCCTCTCTCTCTGTATATGCATACATATACATATATATATACACACACATGCATGCGTGTATATGTACATACATGCCTACCCCGTGACGTAAGTAAGCCTTCAAGCCCCGGTATAGATCCCATACCATTCTCGCTAAGCGTTGCTGAATCCCGTAGCAAAATCCTGGACCCCATATATGAATATATATGTATATATATATATATATATATATATATATATATATCGTATGTGGTTTAGATCTTGACTACGGTTCTGCTTGGGGGTTTAAAGCTTCGGATGTAGCGGTTACCTTGTAGGGGTTTTACGGCTAGGTGCTTACATGGTAATTATGAGGATCCTTGCTCCAATTTCACGGCCACATCCTTAATTCAACCTTTATAAACCCTAACCCCCGGCTTGGGAGTTGCTTGCAACGCGCAGAGGTGGACGTTTGCTCTAAACGCTGCCGCGAACTGAGATGAATCCATGTATCCAAAATAATGTTCCTGGAAGGGCACCATCAGGGCTTAAGGTGTACGGTTCAGGGTCCATGTAGCCAAATAGTATAAGGTGCTTTGGGCCCCAAAGTACATAAATAGGGACTACCTTAAAGCGCAGCGTGTATACATTTTGGGAACATGGACTCTTAGGGGAGTGGAGATTCAAAGGTCTTGCGATCAAACCTCGGGGTCTAGCCATAGCATCCGAGAAGCACGTAGCTAATCGAAGTTACCTAAGCTCTACCTAAAGGATCCTCTACCTAAAGGATCCATAGTAGTTCCTTTTTGGGTTCATATTCAGCACCCTTAAAGGTAATCTCCTAAAGGAACTACTTTGGAGCCTATGGGTAATCCCAAACTAGGCGCTGCGACCCAGCACAAGAGTCCTTCCGCCTTCAGCAGACGCGCTTTCAGGGTCAGAGTTGATGATTCAGGCCTATAGGGTTTGGGGTTTAGGGTTTAGGGTTTAGGGGGTTTAGGGTTTAGGGTTTAGGGTTGAGGGTTTAGGGTTTAGGGTTTTTGGGGTTTGGTGTTAGGGTGCTTACTCTTAGGATCTCTTTGGGTACGCTTAGGATCTCTTTGGGTATTGTCGGCGCAGAGCTCAGGCTTAGAACTCCAGATTTATGTTGGATATCACAGCGCCAATCTGTAGCCTCAAAGGCTATGTTTGAAGGCCCAACTACCTGGAACCGGCAGCACTAAAAAAAAGCAGTCAAAACCCGGTTTCCTCAAAGGGGTTTAGGGAGTTTCGGAGGGTTTAGGGTGAGGATCTACATTGCCCTGCTTGAGAGTTATTGGGGTGTACATCTGGGTTATAGCCTCAAGAGGGTCCAAGTACCTAACGATCATATCCTCTGATTATCCTCTCCTGAACACTAAGCAGCATTACTGCACTCCTAATTCCAAGCCCTAAACCCTAAACCCTAAACCCTAAACCCTATCCTTTGGACCCTTGGGGGCTTCAAGCGGAGTCCAAAGTGAGACGTGATGGTTAGCTTTGAACCAGCTTTTTCCCACCGTCCCCAACCCTCAAACTTTCGAGTCCCGCACTGAAAACCCTAAACCGTGGAATCTGGGCAGCTTACATGAGGCCATGGAGGCCGGCAAGAAGGCCAAAGAAAGGACTCCCCTGGGGGCGCTCAAGGTAGGGAGGGGTTAGGGGTTTTAGGGGTTGCGGGTTTAGGGGTACCGGGATTTGGGTAGAGGGTTTAGGGTTTGAGGGTGTCGGCTTGAGGGTTTAGCGGCTTCGGGTTTGGGGCTCGGGGCAATCGCGGCCATGGCATCTAATATGACCACAATGGCAGTAAGGATCAGGTTTTGTGATGAAGCAGAGGTGGACTTGAAACGAGATGTGGCAACACCAGAGTACAACGTTCCATCCTTGCATGTCTTAGCATTAGGACGAAACTGCTATCTTTCGACCAGGCAGCAAAAGGCTGCCAAAGAATGTGATAGGTACAGCAGCAGTCACCTCCATCATCATCTCTCTTACTCTAGGCACACCTTCAGAACAACTTAGCAAGATCGTAGTGTGACCACAAGACTATCAAACAACATCAAGCCGTAGCGATGGAAATAAAATGAACAACCGCTCATATGATGCACCTGGTGCTTGCTATGGCCACGGCATCTGACATCCGTGTTGATGAGCATGAACACGAAGAGTAAAGCACAACCCTAACCCTGTAAGCCATATTCGGCAAAGGAAACGCGATTGCCCAAAACTCCGGGCCCTCAGTCCCTTAACCCTTAAACCCTAAGCCCTTAAAACCTAAACCTTCAACCCCTTGAAGACCACCCGAAAGTATCGGCGACTCCCAAAGATAAGCTAAACGGATTCTCTTGAACCCGGCATCACTCTTCTACACGAAGGGATGCTTTGAGAAGCTCTGGCCCCGGGCCGAAAAGTGTATTCTATGGTTTCCATAGAGGCTGCTTTAGTCAGTTCTTTTGGGCTAGGGCTTCGCGTTTCAGGAGGCGTGCTGATATCAGTAGCCTCTTGGCAGGATACCTCAAAGTGCCTGTCGCCCTTAACCTCAAACAGCCCTGAAGCCGAAACTGCCACACCCAGACCGCAGGCCCCGAACCTAAGCCCCACATCTGCGAGCCCTGATTTACAAATGCCTCAGGTGGAAGCAAAGCGGCAAAAACAGGCCGCACAAAAAAACATGTTTCGCAAGTCTGAAGTTTGGACTTGAGGGGTTTCGATCTTCGGTTATAAGATAGTGAAAGGCCTGTAGGGATACAAGGTGTCCTAACATTTTGTATGTTCTAGGGCTTGAGGGGCGTGGGGGTTAACATTACATCTTGAAGAGTGGCACAGCAGCCTCACTCAAGATGTCAACATGGCGATCTGAAGAAGCACTGACAGCATCCTTAAATGAATACTCCGAAACTCGGCTCCAATCGTTTGACAGCGTTGTTATCAAAGGATTCTCAACTAAGTCTGAAGCGGTCATGGCTATAATGTTTCAAACCCCAAACCTGCTGAGCCTTCAATTGTAGAATCCTAACAGCCTCAAGGCACAGTATCAGCGTAACCGCTTCATGGAACCCTCAAATATCTAAATTACCCTGACTACATTCCTCAGCAACCTCTCTCTAGCACGCTTCGAAAACCCTTATGCTGGAAGCTAGGATTAGGGGGACCCTTGGGGATATAGACCCTCTGAATAAGGCCCCTTTTAAGAGAGCCAGAAGTAGGGCTCAGAAAGGGTACCCTTTAAGGGGTCTCCCTAATAATACTACCCTTATGCTATGAAAACGGCCTTAGAGAAGCCTCAAGGAGCGAAGCCTCATAGAACCTTTACCCCAAGGGTCCAAGGACCCAATAATCATGTACTCTCCCAAATCCGAACCTACATAACTACTATCCTAAAACCGAGAATCTGATTATTGAGTCCTTTGGACCCTTGGGTTACTTGGCAGCATTTAGGGTTTAGGGGTTAGGGACGGTTAGGGGTTTAGGGTTTTACGCCTTACGTTCTGGTAGAATCCACAAGAACACTTGTCGAACTTTCGATCAGCCCTGCAGAATCCTCCGCCGACCCTAAACATGAAACCCAAAAACTCTAGAAACTAAACCCTCAATGCGAAACCAGGGCTTTGAACCCTAAACTAACTCCAGATCCTCCTTGGCTAAACCCTACCGTAAGCCCTGCCTGGACCTATAAAACCTTCCTTTCTAGGGTTCCTTCCTTACTATGACTTCTTTATATATATATATATATATATATATGTCCTTACTTTGGTTCTTTGGATCCGCGGGTATGCCCTAAACTTTAAACCCAAAGTGTAGGGCCTCCAAGAGGTATCCCAACAGCAGGAGGAGGAGCGGATCAGACTTGCGGCTTCGGCTTTAGGGTTTCTCCGGGTCATGAAGAAGGTCAGAGTTTCATGTCATGGTTTCTTTACAGCTTCTACTGAGGGTTTAGGGTTTAGATCTATGGAGCTGAAGGGTTAGTCTTTAGTGCAGTTTAGCAGTTTACGGGTTCGGGTAGCTGCTAGTGATATGTAGGAGTCAGGTATAAGCAGACAGAAGCTTGGTTTTTCATAGTACTGAAACTGCCCACGAATACTGTAGATAATCTTCAAGCTCACCCCGCTAAGCCTTCAACCATAACATATGCGGTACTGGCGGATAGTGACTTCAAGTGTTTATATTCACGTCCTCTCTTGGGCTTTTTGTTTTTGTGTCACTACTTCGACCGAGATGTGCTTAGTATCCGCAGGGAGGTTTAGGGATTACGTTTGTGGATGCTTACGGTGCTTGCAGGTTTCCTTGTGGAAACAGGTCCGGAAAGCCGCAACTTTGATCGTTCTTGATTACGTTTGTGGATGCTTATTGTGTTTGGAAACAGGTCCGGTCCCGAAAGCCGTAACTTTGATCGTTCTTGCAAGTAGGTTCAGATTCAATATCTGTGTGACATATGGAAGGACAATAATGAAATCTGGCAAGGTCTTCTTCATACAAGACAGTCTTCAACAGAAAATAGGAACTGCTCTTATAAAACCCTTAGAGAAACCCCTGCTGAGAATCCCTATAGCATGTTTAACTTTTATAAGTGTGCAGACAGGTAGCTGGTATTGTCGTACTTAAGATCATGGGACTTAGTCACTAGGGTCACGAGTGCTTTACATAAGGTGATAGTAATAATCTTACTAACTGCAACGAATATGCCCACGAAGGGTTAATCAACCAACAAACTCACTGATTCTTTTGAAAGCTTCCAGCATACAAAACTTGAAAAGTGCGAACAGCCTTGAACCGTTAATGGACACCCAACTTGGGGGGGACACCAAGTTGGTGTTTAGAGTTTAGGGACATCTAACTTAAGAGTCAGGGTTTAGACCTTCAGAACATCCAACTCACGATTGAGGGTATATGGTTGAGGATCAGAGTGTCCCATCTGCCTTTAATTGATGCCAAACCCTGAATTCCTATATAAACCCCGAATGCCCCAATTCGGACCGCTTGTGCAAGGATCAATCTCTTCCTCCTCCGTCTCTTCCATCGCAGCTCCCTCCCAGCGCGGAAGAGGCTTCAATTTGGCCTGCTTGCAGCTTAGGGCTTAGGGCTTACGGAATATGGGTTTCGGATTTGACATGCAAGGTTGATGGTTTCCGATTCAGGGGTCCAGTGCTTGTGGTGTTCATTTCAGGGTTCGGGGTGGTCAGGTCTGGGGATGTTGGATATGATTCTTTGTCGGCCGCTTGTCGAAGCAATCACTTCGATTAATCGATCAACCCGTGTCCGTGTCGATTGAGCCTGCCAATACGTAAAGGTTGAAACCACCGGATGTCTTCTGGTTGATTCTTAGTATTCAGACATTGGCTTCTTGGCAGCATGCGTCAGTCTTCAAAACCTGCATCCCAAGCCGCCAAATCGCAGGAGGAAGAGGCAGCACGGAAAGCGGAGGCCGGCTGAACTTCACCGAACTGCTCGCAGATACGGGTTAAACAGTTTAGGTTTCAGGAGACTTCTATGGGCTCATTCCCAAGTCGTGGACTTGTACCATCGACCAAGAGAGCTCAACACCTTGCATCGTCCACATGGACTTGGGATCTGGTAGAAGACTGAATCTGCAAAGAAGATAATCTAGAGGACTCATATAAAGATCCTTAGAAAAGACCCAGAGTTTCTTAATCAGGTTCCTATATTACCAGTACCGGGGAAAGGCGCATTGCATCCAAGCTGCCACCCATGTCTGACGAGACATCTGTGTTGCATCAGGAGGAAGCCGAGGCCGTCAGAAGACAAGCCGAGGTGGGTACCGGTTTCTTCGCAGACACAAGTTTCTTAGGGACCAGAAGAATAAGAACCTACAATACTTGGAGGATCATGGGACTTAGTAAATAGGGTTATAAGTACCTTAACTGGGGTTATAAGTAATTATTATAACTGTAGTTACCTTACTTATAACCCCAATTACTAAGTCCCATGATCCTTTAAGTAGAGGTAGGTCAGGGTCTAGGGTTTAGGGTTTAGGGTTTTAGGGTTTAGGGTTTAGGGTTTAGGGTTTTAGGGTTTAGGGTTTAGGGTTTAGGGTTTTAGGGTTTAGGGTTTAGGGTTTGGGGTTTTCGAGTGTTTGGGCAGGGTTTAGGGCTTTGGGTGGCTACCTGCTTGTGGGCGGCCGAGCCTTGAAACCGGGTGGTGGCATGCAGGAGGAGGAAGAGGCACGAAGACTTCAGGCCGTTTCGTTATCTGGCTTGTATGTGCTGCCTGCCGCTGTTCCTGCCATTCCCACGTGTCGCTTGCCCTTGCTGGATGTGACTTCTGTGACCGCCAGCAGGAGGAAGCGGAGGCTGCCCGAAAGCAAGCTGAGGTGGCCGCCACACGTTTTGTTGACGGAACAACCACACAAATATGTGTACAGGAAGAGGCCGAGGCTGCTAGAAGAAAGCTTGAGGTGCGGAGTTGAACCGAATCGTGCGAAGTTTCTCGAAGTTTCGCTTGTAGTGCAGGAGGAGGAAGCTGCACAGAGGTTGCAGGCCTTTCGTGTACTGGCATGCAAAGCACACACTTGTGTTAGTTCTCTCAACGCCCCGGCAGCAGGAGGAAGCCGAAGCCGCCCGAAAGCAAGCAGAGGTTGCCGCCAGAAGTTTTCTTGTCGCATATCGCATGCACTACAGGCTACGTGTCCCCGAGTGTGTGCACAGGAAGAGGCCGAGGCCGCCAGAATAAAGCTGGAGGAGCCTTCTACTATCATCATAATTATCATCATTATTATTATTATCACGATTACTATCATTATTGCTATGTCTTAATATAAGGATCCTGATATCGCCTTGAGCAGTACGAAGTCCCTTTGGCCGTGTGCGTGTGTGTGTGTGTGGGTGGGTGTGGGTGTGTGTCATCACAGGGGGAAATCTGCAGTAGTCCAGCTGCCTCATCCACTTGCACCATTCACGGCATGACATCGCCTGCAGGTCATGTGTTTCAATCTGCCACGACTGTGTCTAGGATGCCCAGTAGTACCCTTATTCCCTGGGTATCCTAGTTGTACTTCCTCATACTTCCAAACATCGCAGTGTCACTTCTCTGACCAGCATCAGGAGGAAGCAGAGGCTGCCCGAAAGCAAGCTGAGGTGGCCGCAACGACTTTGTTGGCGGACGCAGTACTGTGCAGCTGCCGAGCGTACGCAGGAAGAAGCCGAGGCTGCCAGAAGAAAAGTGGAGGTGCCGGACCTCCCCGCCAACCATGCAAGTTCCATTTGATATTTCTGTGCCGAACAGCTGCATGCTTTTGGTGCTCTTATGGGCAGGAGGAGGAAGCGGCACAAAGACTGCAGGTCTCGTGGTACAGAATGTTCCGTTTGCACACTTCTGCTGCGCTGCTGGCCATGTTCTCGCTGTTGCCATGCCCCAGCTGCAATCAGAGACAGGAGGAAGCAGAGGCCGCCCGAAAGCAGGCAGAGGTGCCTGGTTTCGTCCAGACTGCGTAGCATGGGCTGGTCAAAGGCTGTATTTTGTTTTGCACATGTTCCCTGTGATGGCACAGGAGGAAGAGAAAGCAGCGAGAAGAAAAATGGAGGTGCAAGTGGTCGCACACATGGTTCGGTTTAGGGTCTAAGGTTGTGCTTGCGTGTTTTGCTGTTGTAAGAAGTGGGTGTTTCTCTAGAGTTTCTAAACGCAAAATGTCAACCTCATTGCCTCGCAGGAGGAAAAGGCGGCGCGAAGGCTGCAGGCCAGTGTTTTTGCAACAGATACCGTGTGATGGCGGTGTCAGGACACCCTAAACCCTAAACCCAAACCCCCTAAGCCCAAACTCCTAAACCCTAATCCCCCCTATACCTTAAGCCCCCGAAACCCCTAAACCCTCTACCCTAAACCGCTAAAAGTGCACAACAGCCCTGAACCCTAAGCCGGAAACATGCGACAGGAAGAGGAAGAAGCCGCCCGAAAGCGAGCTGAGGCCTCTGGTGGCTGTCATGTGGGAGTTTCCCAAAATAGGGGACCCGAATATAGTACCCTAAATAGTAGGTTCCTTATTATAAGGACTCCAAAATAAGGTACCCCTCGTTTTCGGAAACTCCCATTAGGAACCTGGCCTTAAGACCCCCAAATAGTAGGATCCAAATAAGGAGCCCTTAAATAAAGCCCAAGGTTTCTTAATCAGGTTCCTACATTATTTGGGACTAGGGTCTACCCATAAGCTCCATTGTAGTTCCTTCGTGTGGTTTATACTTACGCCTATAAGGTAGTCCCAAAAGGAAGGTAAACCCCAGCTGAGACTGTTACCTGCAAGAAATGCACTAAGAGTTCAGGGCTCATGGAGGGTCCTTAAAGGGGTTCCTTCAAGGGTTCTATAAGGGTACCATAAGGGTCGCTTTACAGTAAAGGGTTTAGGGTTTGAGGTCAGGAGGGGTTGAAGTCTCCTCAAACTCGTTATCCTTCTGACTAAACCGTCAACTTTGACCCCCCAAACACTGCGCGCAATCTGCGCTTAGCTCTTAACCCTACACCCTACTTAAAGGATCATCGGACTTAGTAATTGGGGTTATAAGTAAGGTACTTACAGTTATAGTTACTTGTAACCCCAATACAGGTACTTATAATCCCACTTACTAAGCCCAATGATCCAGGTACCACCATTCATGGTCTGAAGTTCAACCTGAATCAGCCCGGAAACGACTGGCTGCCATCCACGACGGTATGTTGTGACTTAGGCGTACAAAGCCCCACAGCAAGAACACGACCGGCATGGCCACTGACTAAGCCCCCAAACGCAAAGATATCTCCAGGAGGAAGAAGCCGCTCGAAAGCAGGATGAGGTGCACTGCTTAAAACGGCAGTGCTCAGCTCTTTAGATTTTCCAGGATGTTCAGTGGTACACTTTGTTTCTTTCAGGTTTCCTATTATAAAATAAGAAGCCTGAAAAAGTTTTTTTCTTTTTCCCAGTGGGTTACTGAACAGCCTAGTTTGAGGGTTTAGGAACAGATTTAGGATGATTCTTGTTGGGACTCCCTTCACTTTACTCTAAGGGCATGAGGATTCGCATGTTCCAACTTTCTGGCTTCTAGAGTTATACTGGCGGGGACCCCAAACCCCCCGTTAGCTCGCTTTCCCCGAAGCCCGAGTTCAGAAGTTTAGGGTTTCGGCTACAGAGCCCTAAACCCTAAACCCTGGAGGTTTCATTTTAATGTAGCAAGCCCCGGCAGGAGGCAGCTAAGCAGGCCAAAAGAAAGGCTGAGGTGCCGAATCTACCACAGTTGCTGGGGTTTAGGCTTTAGGTTCTACCTTAACCCTGAATAACCCACCTTTTTAGGGTTCCTTATTTCGATTTCCTTATATAAGTCCTTAGAAAGGTAGGTTCTTCAGGGTCTAGGTAGGGTTTAGGGTTAAGGGCACTTTGTTTGATTCCTGCTTGTGACTACGGCATGGTGTCTGCTGGAGCTGTTGCATGTTCTTGCGTGATGGGCTTGTTATGAAATCTACTTGGAGGGGCAGGGGACATAGTAAGTCTAAGCTGGGTTGTTTCTCATAAGCCTCCCATACCACTCCTATAAGGTAAAGGGGGTCTTATGGGAGTACTATGGAAGAAGAACTACCCACCTGTGAGGGGCTTCTAGTAAGTAGGGTTATAATTCCCAAGTTTCCTTCTCGGCATCCTAAACCCCCCTAAACCATCCCCCAAACCCCTCGACCTAGGATGCCCTGTACTACCCTTGTAGGCCCTTATTCCCTTTTTGTAGTCCTAGGTTCCTTACAAAGTTACCCCAATACCAAAAAGGGAGCCCTTGCTATAGAAACCAAAACAGAGTTTCCCTCCTCGGCCCCAGACCCCAAGCCCTCGGCCCCAAATCCTACCGTCTAGGCCCATTGCATCCCAAATCCCTTCATGACCCTTAACTGAACCCCGTACAGGAGCTTACAAGGAAATCCCTACCAAGACCTTTAACCCCAAACCCTTCACGCCAAGCCTTAAATTCTGAACATGTATAAACCCAACGCCCGAAACCCCAAAGCCGCGATATTCTAAACCGTTGCAAACCCTAAGCTCAAAACCAAAAATGTCAGCAGCGGACAGGAGGAAGCCGAGGCTGCTAGAACAAAGCAAGCCGAGGTGGCCATTGACCCTAAACCCTATGCCCCGGGTCACTCTGAGGGGACATGGGCAGAGCTAGGGGGTTTAAGAGTTAGGGTTTGGGTTCCGGGGTTAAAGGTCTTAGGGTTTAGATAGGGGTTTAAGATTTAGGGCTAAGATTTTTGAAGGGACTCAGGGTAGTTCGAAGGTTTACAGCTAAGCGTGGAGTACACTGCTCGAGGTTTTCGAAATCTGAAGTGCTGTGCTTGTGATCTTACTGGGATCGAACTTTGCTTGCTTGCCGATCAGTTTGGTGTTCACAGTTCTTTTAAGGGCGGCCTTGAGGGTTCTGTTTTCTGGGGTACGAGAAACGGAGCTTAGGATTCATTTAGGCCTTTGGGTTTAAGGATTTCGGATTTAGAGTTTTGGGGTTTGGGCCTGTAAGGTTGATTTTCAGGGTTTAGGGCTTTGCAAGTTTAGAGTTTTGGGCTTTAAGGTTGAGGGTTTCAGTCTTCATCCTAATGTTGCTCATACCCTCCCCTCCAACGATCCGTTGCCTGAAGGCACATGGCCGAACCGCAGTAAACCCTAACCCCCGCCCGTGGATCCAACTATAGTATACCTATTCTTTCGAGGGTACTACCCTCTAGGGGTCATAACTCATAACCTACCCCTTTTTTTAGGGTACCTACTTTTCTAGATAAGAGATCCCAGCCATAAAACGGGTAGGGGAGGAGCCTCTGGGGTCGAACCGACTTTCCAAACCCTAAACCCTAAACCCCAAACCCTGAACCCTAAACCCTAAACCCTAAACCCTGAACCCTAAACCCTAAACCTAAACCCAAACCCTAAACCCTAAAACCTAAACCCAAACCCTAAACCCTAAACCCTAACCTTAAACCCTAAACCCTACTCCGAAGCATCCGCAAGTTGACACCTCGAGCCCGCGACCTCGCTTTTCAAAGCTCCTGAAGCCCCTGCCCAGAGGGATCAAGGAAAGAGACCGTACCTCAGGTCTATAAACAAGGAGGGATCAAGGAAAGAGACCGTACCTCAGGTCGATAAACAAGGAGGCGGAAAAGCGAGAGGGGGAAACCCCAAAGAAGTTTGCAGCACAGCTGCCGAGGAAGTTTCACAAACGACTGGTCTGAAGGAGTCGGCGCTCTAATGGGCTGCATGAGCACCTAAACCTGTGGCTTCGTCGGCTGGCTTCCCGTATTCTGGCCCTATCAAAACCCTCGAAGACACCCGGGGCAACCGTAAACTCTAGGAGCCTGAAAAACACCCGCAGAGCCCAACGCCTGTTGATTCAGGAATATGCCTTAAACTTATCAGGGCTTCGTATGATGACTTAAGCTATATTCCTCGGTTAAGGGTTATTGGGCTTTCTGGGCATGCATGAAACCAGGTAGACTTTGAGACTGTTTAGGTTTCCCCTTACTGGGCCAAAGAGGATCTTGTTTGACCATATGTCTTTCAAAGGCTTTGAGGGGTAAACCTATGAAACTTTATAAGCTACATTGCGTTGTAAAGCCTAAATGATGGAATAGCCTTGCTGAGGTCAACCCTGAATCCTGAAACTCTGGCATCCAATACCCTAAGTGGGTTTCTAGGGGCTTGGATTAACCCTGGCCCTTGAACAGTGCTGAGCGGGCTGTTCTCAAGTTTCTAGAGGTTTGGAGGATTTTCGAGGTTTAGAGTGTGTCAGACGTGTTTAGTTTTGGGGTGTTGGGCCTAAACCCTAAGGGCCTATAACTCCAAAATATTAGCCTCGGGAGGATCCAAAAAGGAGATCCCTTAATAGGGGTTCCTATACAGTACCCTTAGTGTATAGGGCCCCAAATTAGGGGATCTACTTCCTAGATCCTCCCGGGGGTCTGGCTACCCTACGAAGAGTGTAAAACCCTGTATCACCAATAGAACCCACCAAAATCCGGTACAACAAAGCTCCCAAAGTCATAATAGAACCCTGTTATTTCACCAAAGAAACTTAAACTCTACAAGGCTACATAAACTTAAACCCTGTAAACCACTAGATGGGAGGTTGTCAAAATTATGTTCCTTTTTTGGGAACCCCTAAATATTAGGTGCCGTACTTTCGTAAGGACCCGCAAAGGGACCATAGTTTTGACAACCACCCGAATAGCCCTTCATAAGAACAGCCTTAAAGAGCCCTTGGGCTCCGAACCCGGAGGCGCCGAAAGAGAAGCAGATGCCTCCTGGAGGCCAGTTCGGGATGTTTTGCTTCAGGGTTTAGGGGTTTAGGGTTTAGGGGTTTAGGGTTTAGGGGTTTAGGGTTTTAGGGGTTTAGGGTTTAGGGTTTAGGAGAGTCGGGTGCACTTAGTAAACTGGGGAGTAAAAAATTGGAGTGTATATTCGAGTAGGTTATACTAGGTTATGGTAGACTACTAGTAGGCTATACTAGGTTATACTAGGTTATAATAGACTACTAGTAGGTTATGCGAGGTTATAGTAGGCTACTAGTAGGTTATTTACTAGATTGTAGTAGACTACTAGTACAATACAGGACCTTCAAAAAGGAGTGATCTGCAGAGTTTACCTTAAAGGGGACCTTAATTTGGATTGCGATACTTATCAGTCGTCTAGAAAAGGACTACTTGCTAAGTCCCCCGACCTTCCTAGCAGGAAACTCGACCTCAAGGGCTATAGGAGTTGTAGAAGCGTTGTGGAAACGGATCTAGAGTGTTCGATGAAGGTTATACTATGAGGCTTCTAAATAGGATTTTAAAACGGTTCGACAGAACAAAGTTCTTAAACCCCCAATTTGACTTTAAACCGTAAACCCTAAACGGTTTAGGCTGAGGGCCTAGGGTTCAGGGTCTACGAATTTCAGGTTTTCGGCATGTGAGCATGATCCAGTGACACGCATTGACACGATGGATGCTGTCATGAAGAAGGACTCGTACAAGGACATCTTCCAGTTCTTGAACGTGAACACCAAATGGGTGGTTGTCAAAATTAGGGTCCCTTTTTGGGGTACCCTAAATAATAGGTGCCGTATCATAACAGGGACCCAAAAAGGGACCATAATTTTGCCAACCACCCAAATCGACTGAGCGCGTGCTGATCCCTCTCAATGTCACTAGCACAGGTGCGACCATCGTCCTCTTCGACTCCAGTGTCGCGGCGCTTGCCGCGATGCACCTACATAGATTTAAACCTGGTTCTTCACAGAATTCTCCAAGGGGAAAAGGAGGGACCCTTAATAAGGACCCCTAGGTTAAGTAGACTTATAAGTACCCTAAAAGGGACCCTAATTGGGGTTACGGTACTTATAAGTCCCTAAAATAACCAGTTACTAAGTCCCCCGACCCTCCAAGTAGGCACTGCTCCTCCGAAGAAGATTCGCTTAAATGAAGAGTTGGGGCTGTTTCGGAATGAGGGTCAACGAAGTTTAAATTACGAGTACTCATACTATTCCATGGGGTTCCGGCTACAAAGTACATACTATGAAATACCTGAGAAACCAATTCTAAGTAATGATGCCCAGAAGTTTGGGGTTGGGCCGGGGGTTGAGGGCGTCAGGGATCTAAAGGTTTCGGGCTTCGGGTGTGGTTAGATTCTGATCCTGTACTGCATTTAGGGTTTAGGGTGCTCCATTGTGGAATCCTTCGATTAACACCCACTAAACTCTAAGTAGACCGGAACCCCAAGCCCTAAACCCAGAGATTCATAAAGACCCCTAAATGGCCGGGGGGGGGGGGGGGTAGGCCGGCTTAATATAAGGCCTATATTAAGGAAATGTAGCCCCCTACCCACCCC